ATTGATGTGCATCTCTAATTCAATTGAGTACAGGCTTAACTGAATGACAACAAAGCCAGAATACAATATGGAATTTTATTGAATAGTTTGGGGTAGGCCTCGTCTCCGAGGAACGCTCCTTAGAGCCAGATGCTGATGACAGGTTGCCCTATGCTGGGCAGCTGTCATCGAAACCCCCCCCCCCCCCCCTATGCTAATGAGGTAACATTATAAATGTTTCCCTATAAATACCGGTTATGCTGATGAGGTAACGTAAACTTTCATAACTACATTACAAATATGCACTAGAGAGCAGTGTTTCATTGACTCACAGCACTAAGGAGTAGGTATTGATTGTGTCTCTTATACAAATATGCACCAGAGGGCAGCGTTTCATTGACTCACAGCAGAGAGGAGTATGTTTTTACATTCAGAAGTGATTTCAAAGAAAGGGGGGTTATGGAGCTGGTGAAACAGAGGAAAAAGCAACTGAGAAAGTGAGGTAGAGACAGATGATCAGGACGGCGAAAGCTCTTTCTCAATCAAAAGGTTATTGATTGAGAACAACAAAAAGGAGATGGAGAGAGACAGGAAAATTAGAAAGAGCAAGCATAACTCCACCATGTCCAACTCTCCTACCTGCATACACCTGTAATTCATTCCATGGAGGGCCGAGTGCCTGCGGGTTTTCGCTCCTCCCTTTTACCTGATTGATAAATTAAGATCACTTATTAGTTAGAAACAGCCCTCACCTGGTTGTCTAGGTCTTACATTTACGTCATTTAGCAGACGCTCTTATCCAGAGCGACTTACAGTTAGTGAGTGCTTACTTTTAAAAAAAAAAATTCATACTGGCCCCACGTGGGAATCATACCCACAACCCTGGCGTTGCAAACGCCATGCTCAACCAACTGAGCTACATCCCTGCCGGCCATTCCCTCCCCTACCCTGGACGACGCTGGGCCAATTGTGCACCGCCCCATGGGTCTCCCGGTCGCGGCCTGCTACGACAGAGCCTGGATTCGAACCAGGATCTCTAGTGGCACAGCTAGTACTGCAATGCAGTGCCTTAGACCACTGCGCCACTCGGGAGGTCGTAGCTGTACACTCTTAGAAAAAAAGGGTTCCAAAAGGGTTCTTCGGCTGTCCCCATAGGAGAACCCTTATGGAACCAAAAATGGTTCTACCTAGAACCAAATAGGGTTTGTCAAAGGGTTCTCCTATGGGGACAGCCAAAGAACCCTTTTAGGTTCTAGATAGCACCTTTCTTTACACAAATTGTAAGGAAACAGTGTATTCATGGATGCCAAGGGAAGCCAGGCCTCAGCAAATATTTGACCAATAAAAACATATAAATTATAAAATCATTTATCTTTCGTCTCTCTCTGTGTTTTCATAATTTTCCGTCAATTCGCAAGTGACTGAATTTCACCGGAGAAATCATCCAAGCGAGAGAAATGGCGCCCATCTATTTCAGTGTGTGTAGCCCATGTATGATGTCTGGACAAAAATAGTATGACATGTTGCGGCCATGGCATTTGATTGATAGATGCCAGCAATCATTTGGCCTCTCTTGATAAAACAATTATAAAATAATTAGCCAATTAGCGTTGAGCTGAGCTCAACTGTGGGTTGTCCTGGTGCAGCAAAACGTCCCCAAGGGAGGCCAGTTTGGATTTGGCTTCACCCCAATCAAATCTCACCCTACATTTTAGTTTCTGGTCTGCTTGTGTTGATGTCCTGCAGTAGCTATCAACCCTTTCCTAAGCCATGGATGGAGATGGGGATTTGGACTTGTGGTTTTGACTTAATTCTCTGTACAGGCCAATGATTATGACATGATTCTGATCTAACCATGAATGAATATGCTGTGCCACTGGCCTGAGATGACTGAAGTTCAATATGTAGCCTAGCCCTTTTAGGCTCAAGTTAACTAGCTAGCTAACTTAGCTGGTTCCTTTTTGCCCATGCGAGGAAGTTAGGCTAGCAAGCATTTTAGCTAGGTAGCCTATGACAACAAAAACTAAAAGCGTACCAACTGTATGACAGAGCCATTTACCATTTTGCCAGCATAAAAGAGAGGAGAAGGGCATTGGCGTTCAACTAGTCTACAAGTAAGGTGAGTCAAAATAATGTTTTGCTTGCTCGAACACGCACTCACACACACACTCACACACACACACACACACACACACGCACACACACACACACAACATTGATTGGACTAAATCATTTTTGATATCTTTAAGTTTGTTTTCAGTGTATAAAACTAAGCATATACAGTGCATATTTCATTTATTTATTTTATATAACTTTGCAAAAAATTATTAAAACCTGTTTGTGCTTTGTCATTATGGGGCATTGTGTGTAGATTGATGTTTTTTAAATTATTTTTTAATCCATTTTAGAATAAGGCTGTAACGTAACAAAATGTGGAAAAACTAAAGGGGTCTGAATACTTTTCCGAATGCACTGTATAGCCTTGTTGATTTGTTGATGTTTAAATGTTTATGTTGAAATGGTGCTGAAATAGTGGAGGCAGAGCTGTTGTCTTTGTGCAGACTTGCGGTAACTCTGTGGTTCTAAATCATTAGTTGTTTAGTAAACTGTCAAACATGAACTTGCTTGACCATGCAATATTTGCTTTGTGGACTTCACCGGACAGATGTTGCTCTCCAGTTTTGTGATGAAACAAATGTGTAGTTGAATTTATTCCGCCACTGTGTGACTGTTGTGTTTTTGTTGTCACGGCCTTGTTGTATATCACGGTGGCGTATGAACAAATAGGTTATAGAGCCAACAATGCAATTATCACAACATAGTTTGTATATGGATTTTTTACTGGCTTGGCTTGGCTTCCTCAGTGATTTAACACACGCACCGCTACTGAACGGAAATAACAAAAAACAGCAAACACTCTTCGCTCCATGGAATGAGTTTGATGCCCCTGATCTAACCTCTGCACAACTCAAATATATCAATAAGACCAACACATACAGTGTGATAGAAAATAAAGAGAGCGCTGGGGTCGAATTACAGTGAGAGAGGGAGTGAGAGAAAGAGATAGAGTTGGATGGGAAGAGGGAGGGACAGAGAGGGGACAGTTGTCACTTAAGTGTGTCCTGATGAATACTAATTGCTGTGAACTAAAGAGCCAGAAAGAGTTCCATTGATGGCTGAGCACAATGGAGAAGGAACAGGGGAAGCAGAGGAATTATATTATTTCATTTTCCCCTTCTTCTTGTGTTTGTACGCCCGTCCGCCGCCTGTTGTCTTTGGGGGGAAAGGAGACCGTGGCTCTCACAATGCTGCCCTTGTGTCTGGGGCCACAGGGCCAGAGTAAGCCAGGGCACACACAGCTTCCAACCTCCCTGCAAGATGGCAAGGGCCTCAGCGTACAGGCAGGCTTGCCATCAATAGGGGTTTTGAGATGATAAATTGAGCTCACTGGCGTAGTGAAACCCCTTTAGACCCCATAAGGAGGGGGTCCCACGAGCTCTGGGTGCCCATTATCTCACACCTACAGTAGGTCTACATTTTATTATATTTTTAAATAAATAATTTTGACAGTAACCCTCCTTTTTAATGTCCACATGTAGCAAGGGAAGTGTTTGTGCTGTCCAATCTACATCAGGGCTGTTACATCGAAAATTCATTTTACAATCTGCAATATTTGAAATTCCCACTTTAACTGCCGAACAAGTAAATACAATATTGCCGCCGCCAGCCTCTGTAGCTCAGCTGGTAGAGCACGGCGCTTGTAACGCCAAGGTAGTGGGTTCAATCCCCGGAACCACCCATACACAAAAAAAAATTATGCACGCATGACTGTAAATCGCTTTGGATAAAAGCGTCTGTTAAATATTATATTATTATCATTCTAAATAGCAGCATTGTGACACCATAGGCCTATAGCTTCGTGAAACATAAACGTTAGGCTTAACATGAGAAAATGACGACCAAATAAAAATAAACATGAATCCATTAAATCAAAGCTATAGGCTACTACAAGCACTAGCGCCACTTAATCTGATAGGCAGCCATGTAGACGTCGCAATTTAAGAACCATGGACAGCAATCAGTAAGTAGTCTAGACTTTGTGAGTGGCTGACGCGTTTGATTTTTCTGGGGTCCAGAAAACCCGGACTTTTCTTGGGTCCAAAGAAACTGCGCTACGTCAGTGGTTGAACTAGCAGTAGGCTACAACCTTGCTACTGAAAGTCACTGCATGGACTAGCAACATGGTTACTTCCATGGGGATATACTGCTGTTTTACCCATACACAATACCAGGCTCAAAACTAAATATGTATAAATATCCCTTTCTCTAACTGTCTCTCTATTACATAAATACAGTAAACAGACACATTCTAGGTTCAAACCCTTTGAAAATGGGTAACTTTTCCTCACTTCCTCTCACGTGTCCCTTATTGACAAGTAGAGGATGGAGGCAGAGAGAGACACAATGGCAGCCTGTCACATCACATCCTCATTAACATCTGGAGCAGAAAGGAGAACAACCCTGGTTACACTGTCCACCAAGGCCTGAGACATATGAGCACTGGTCTGAGGGAAAGGGGGGGGGGAGAGAGAGAGAGAGAGAGAGAGAGAGAGAGAGAGAGAGAGAGAGAGAGAGAGAGAGAGAGAGAGAGACCTTGGGGGTCAGAGGGAGAGATCGCAGTGGCAGAAAGGGGCTCAGAAAAAAGAAAGATATATTTGTTTCCGAACTATCCCACCAACGGGAAACGGTCATGTTTGGCTAAACAACCTTCAAAGGTGATCAGTCACCACTGTTTTGAAGAGAAAAATAAATCTGCATCTCATCAACTGCTGCAGGTTAGAGCTTTTGGATTTTCTTTTGGTGTCTCTTGAACTGTTTTGGTCCTCCTAGAGGCAAATGTTCTATGTATAAAACTGTTCTTCGTAGTACAATCAAAAATGCTCTACCACATTATGTAAACATTCTAAATCAGATAATGTTGTTATTCTATTGCAGGGACAGGGAGGGTGACTTGTTTCATTATGAACTGTGCTGCTATTTTGATACTAACTGCAAGTTGTTTCAGTTGGACGTCTGCTATTTATCTCCCAAACAGACAAGGTATGTTTTATAATTTTCTGAGTACACAAGTTATGTTAGCTTATGACAGGAGAGTATGCAGAATTGTATCCATCTATTGAATCTGGTCAATTTAGTTCATATGAAGGTCACTGACTATAGGCCAGTGACATTGCTTAATGATGACCATAAAATAATTCTAACTTAATGTAATGTATGAGACTTTCATTGTTGTATAATGGAGGACCATGGATGAATAATCTTACAAGGAACCTGTTTTAAATCCCTCAGCAACAAAGAAACTGAAGTATCTGCTTGAGCCACCTGTTTATGCTGAAGTAACCAGCCCTCGGGGAGGAAGTGCCACTTTGCCATGTATACTGCGATTCAAACCAAGCCATTACAAGGTGAAGTGGACAAAACTGGAACCACTTCGTTGTGGAAGCGAGAACATTGTCATGATCACAAACGGTTATGCCCACAAACCCTATGGCCTGCTTGGGCCACGGGCCTCGCTTCGTAATGCTCATGCCATGGATGCCTCACTACAACTCAGTAACCTGGAACTAGAAGACGATGGTAGATATCGCTGTGAGCTGATCAACAGTATTGATGATGAGAGCGTCATCATTACATTGAGGATAGAAGGTAAATTATGGTGATTCTTGTAACCTTTATAAACATTTCAAATGTTGTAAAGAAACCATATTGCTTGCTATTCAGCCTAAAATATATTTGGAGAATAAAAAGGCAAATCAGACAAGGTTTTTGATATGTTGTGTGACTTAAATTTACTTTTAGGGATGGTGTTTCCATATCAGAGCAAAAATGGCCGCTACAAATTCACCTACCAGGAAGCTAAGGAGGCCTGTGCTGAACAGGATGGCACATTGGCCACATTCAAGCAACTATACAGAGGTATTCAATATTCAATCAGCAAAACATTGACAGTTTACTCTGTACCTTTACTGATACCATAGAGGTTTATGTAAGGCTAACTTTCACTAAGCAAACAGTAACACATTGTCATTGTGTAGCATGGACAGAGGGTCTGGATTGGTGCAACGCGGGATGGCTCATCGATGGGACAGTCCACTACCCCATCCTGCACACCACGACCAGAATGTGGGGGGGAGCTGCTGCCTGGCATTCGCAGCTATGGCCCCCGGGACAGGATCCGGGACCACTTTGATGCCTTCTGTTTCACCTCTAGAACCACAGGTCAGCTAAATGGGTTTTGGTGCTTTGTGAAGCTGTCAAATAGCAATGTCAGTATAGTCTTCATGTGTCAAATTAGTTCCATCCTTTTTAATTCGGAATGCTGCTTATCGGAAATGAATAAAAGGAGTTCAATTGGATTTGGGCGATGTGGTACATTTAAAAATAGTCTGGAACCAACATATAATCTAACATTAATAAGGATGCAATTACATTATAGTATTGAAAAAAGACCCCTGTGCCCCTGTGTTCAGAACAGTCTTATGTTATTCTGACTGTAAACTTTCCATAGCAACAGGGTGACCTTTGGCGATACATAGGAAGTGGGCTCGTTAATGGTCCTGAGAGGATGGGGATGGACAATAAAGGCTGTTGTTCAGACCCACTTGTAAACAAGTCCATCTGTGGGAAACTAGTTTCCCTTTAGTGGCATTAGAACATCCACTGTAATCGGAAAATAAAAACCTCAGTGGAAATGTTAAATTACAAAGATAGTGGGTGGTTTTACCATATAGCACCGTTCCCCAAGAAGTTTAAATGTTTTATTGTTGGACATGAAAGACCACCAAAGAACACCAATAAATCAGCTCCAAGTGATTTTAATTTAGGAAATCTGTTCGAAAGTATTCCCACACATAATAGAGAGATATACAGGCATCTGATCGTATACAATTGAAAGCAAGGTTTGAAATTATTATGTTTTAGTCAAATGTTACATCTGTTTGGGCTTCTTGCTGTCAATTTGCAGTCTACAAACTATTTGTAATTATTATAATTATACAAAAATCTGCGGCTGAATCTAGTTGATGATCCATGCCATATACTGTGGCCATACAACACCATACTTAACTTAAATAACAGTAATGAAATTGTTATGAGTGCATGTCAACACTTCAGATCCAGAATGACTGATACAACAAATTACTTCTAATGCTGTAGCACAGGGATTGTTAACTAGATTCAGCAGCGGGATGATTTTTTCTTGAGCGGATGGGCAGGGGCATAATTACAAATAATTTGTAGACTGCAAATTGACCGCAAGAAGCACAAACAGATAGACCATTTGACTAAAACATAATAATTTCAAACCTTGCTTACGTTTGTATATGATCACATATATCTCTCTATTATGTTGGAATACTTGCTTTAGCAGGTTAAAGAACTTGTATTCCCCTTCCTCTCTTCCAGGCTTTGTGTTCTTCGTTGGAGGGCCACTCACATTTGTGGAGGCAGTGCAGGCGTGTAGGGGTGAGGGAGCAGAGTTAGCTCTGGTTGGCCAGCTCTATTCGGCCTGGCGTTTCCTGAGCTATGACCGCTGTGATGGAGGTTGGTTGAAGGACGGCAGTGTGCGCTTCCCTATCACCACCCCTAGAGAGCGCTGTGGCGGGATTCCCGGGGCTGGTGTGCGCACCTTTGGGTACCCCAACAAGACCCTGCGTCTCTATGGTGCCTTCTGCTACTGGTAGCTTCCATGAGACCCATAGCATGTGGAGCCTACTACCACTGACTTCATAGATCCAAGACGCAACACCTTTGTGAAGACTACCAGTGACCCCTACAGGTTTTCAGCACACAGGGCTTGCAGATACAGGTAGTCAAAAGGCTGGGAACTGGTTCCTCAACATCGCCAAAAGATACAAGTAGCTCTGTGCTTTTCTGCAATACTATAATATGTTATTACAGGAGACCTCAAAGGCTTAATGCCTTTTTCCATGGGACACATCAACAAAAAGCCTGCCACTCTTATGAGCTTTACTGCTACAGGTAACAACTAATGTACATGGCTTCCTGCATTTGTGTAACATTAGTTTTGTGATCTTTGTTATCCAAGAAGCACTATTCTAATGTAACAGGATAGGTATTACACAATGACAAGTTCATAAAATGCTGTTAGCTTCTTAGATGATGTAAGGGAGTGTGTGATTAGCAGAATGGGAGAAAGCATTGAGCATAACTGTAATACAATAAAATATCTTGAAAGTGTACTTGATCAATGGCATTAAAATGTAATTCAAATGCAACCATATTCACCTGGATAAATACATTGTAATCAATTCATTTTAATAGATATTAATTTTCTACTCTCCAAAAACTCAGACTACATTACAAAATTAAGTTATATTTTTGTTATTTTCACTTAATCCATCTCCTTTTTTTCTTTCATAACAAGTTCATTATGTAATTGTGCAGTCACAAATGGGATTAACAATTAGCATTATTTGATTACTGTTAAACACTACCAACCTACAATTGTACTTCCACTGGAAACTAAGACAATGGCATCATTGATGCATGAAAACTGAAATACCATTGTGGACATTTTCACAAGTTCTTCCTAGTATCTTAGTGATTACGTTTTTATGAGAGTATAAAATAACAAACTTTGGATTCTGGCTATTTTCAAACCAGTACTTTCAAGTGGATATTGGCTTCTAATATTGGGTCCAAAGTTCGTAAGACACCTGAAAAACAAAGCACCAGATAAGAGGACATGTTGAGAAAATGCTCTGGGTTGTGGGAATTGAGAAGATATGGATTGAGGAGATTTTCTTATACAAAAGCATACAAAAGTGGAAATCTTAATTCTGTCTTTGTGGCAGAGAGTGGGAAAGTGGCTTCAGTTAATGTCAGACCAGCTGAGGTTGAGATTTAGGTTGCACTTTACTAAAACTCTCCATCAAAATCATATTGTATACCGTCATAAACATGTCATAATATATGTTACTAGCAGTCAAATACTGTAATCCAACAGTGTGGTAGCACAGGTAGATATCAAAGTACTTCACTAGTACTTTGTCACAGTAATTCACTAGTCAACAATCACATATCATTATACAACAAACAAGCCCAATGATGGATGGGACAGCTTCGTTAAAGCTCATTCCAATGACAAACTGTACTGTGCAAATTTGGTCCAATTCCTCTAATCGTGGGCTTATGTTGGGAATGTACTCTTTTTCTAAGTGTGATCGATCGGCACTAGGTCCAAGTAACATCAAGTCTGTTGATGTTCTAAATGGGTTTATTCTGGAAAGAGCTGGTGACAGGAATGTGATGACTCGTTCTCAGGGAGAACATTTATTTTACAAGGCTCCACCTTGTTGGAGGGACAAGGTTGGACAGTCTTTGAGTGGAACATAGGATACCAGGGAAGGGGGCAGAGGGAATGGGCATATTGAGTTTGATGAGCTTAGTAGTTCCACTTAATGTCCCAGAACTCTGAAGTGGCTTTCTCCGTGGCTGTGTGCACCACCTCCACCCCCTCGTTCTGATAGGGTGGCGTCGTGACCTTCTGCTCTCCCTCTGCCAAGTTGGTCAGGGCTGGAAAAACATAGCAGGTACATCATGTCATTATCACAGTAGAGCATAAAATAACTAAAGAGAGTCATACAATGATAACATTAGAGACCCATCACACACATCATACATTTATTTAGTTTTATGTCAGTCAACAGAATGAATGTCTGTCCTCACCAGGGTGACAGGTGATCAAAGCCTCCTCCCATTGGCCGTTGGATAGGCACTTAATGACGGGGTTCTGTGTCTGGAGGAATCCTTCTTCACAGTAGTAGCGCACCTTGGAGTTGGTCTCGTAGCGCAGATTGCGACTTACCAAACACCTTGGCATTGGCAATGACGGGGGGCTGGCCACAGAAAGCTAAACAGAAAAATGTGGTTAGGGGTGCAATTATATTAAAACCATACTGAGAGATTGAGGACAGCTTCTATGCTACACTACTGTGGTGGTTATGGTTGTGTACTCACATGTGCCCTTCTTGCAGGTGTAGGAGAGATGGTAGTTACAGGGCACATCACTCCAGTGCCCCCCGTCATGCCATACCATCACCACACAGTCCTCTCCAGACAGGAAGTAACTGTCAGGCTGGCCCCGGTACCAGTTCTCATACAACTGGCAGAAAAAGATGGGAAGGAGGATGAAGAAGTAGGGGAGTTTTAATACTGTTAGTTCACATATACAGTAGCTGAGAAGTAGTATGAGAAGCAGATCACATACCAGGAGGAGGTTATTTTTGCATCAGGTCTTACAAAACATAAGTGAGGATGTTCTGTATACCAACGGGATACAATCCCAGAGGCAAGTTCATGCAAATAACATTATGTTTATGGAGAACCTAGAAATATTTGATGGGAACACAGACTATGTGAGACTCACCAAAGGATTCCCGTCAGACCAGCGGAAGTCTCCCTCTATGGTTCTGTCATTCAGTCCCGTCCACTGGTACTCTCTGTACTTATCTAAAGGGAAAGAGAAAGCTCACTGTAAATTTGGCCCTGAAAACACTCACTCACCAGCAAGTAGGGGCTGGTGTAAGACTACAGGCCATGGGAAACAACTAAGGAATGCTAGATAATCATCTCCTCCATACTTCCAGACACAATACTAACACTGGCATCAAAGCCCTCCCATGTTTCATGGTAAAATGAGTGAATGGCAGGTAAGACATGAAAGAAGATGTTGCGTCTTCCCTGGACCATAAAACCTTAAACAGAAAGCATTCTGTTTAAACAAATAAATTAATTGGTTTCCTAAATATTATTCACAGATGGCACTGGGGTTACAGAGAGGTCTGAAAAATGTATGCACTCACTAACTGTAAGTCGCTCTGGATAAGAGTGTCTGCTAAATGACTAAAAATGTAAAATGTAAATTACACATTCAGTTTATGCATTTTAGGACTGTAAGTTATCTTCACACTGAATGAAAAATAGTTACGTTAACTAAGTTTCCCATTTAAATGATTGAATTACACCTTTTTAACAATCCACGGATGAGGGTTACACAGGTCAAGTTATGCAGAGCACTTGGAGCTGTCTGTTACAAGATCAAAGGACATGTTTTCAGGTCTGCTGTACCATTGATGTAGTCCTGTTCCTCAGGGGTCATGACCGAGATCAGGTGACCGCCACACATACGACAGTGCTGCTCTGCCACCTCCCAGCCCTGACGCTTGGTGAAATGTTGGTAACAGAAGCCCATGAACTTCTCCCAACCTGGCTCACACACCTCCAGGTCTGACCAACATGAAGAGGAAGAGGTGAGATGCACACAGAGGAAACAAAAATATACATAAGGGGGAGAGATACACTACCGTTCAAAAGTTTGGGGTCACTTAGAAATGTCCTTGTTTTCCATGAAAACATACATGAAATGAGTTTGAAAAGGAAATATAGCAAAATGCATAGGAAATGTAGTCATTGACAAGGTTAGAAATAATGATTTTTAATAGAAATAATAATTATGTCCTTCAAACTTTGCTTTCGTCAAAGAATCCTCCATTTGCAGCAATTACAGCCTTGCAGACCTTTGGCATTGTAGTTGTCAATTTGTTGAGGTAATCTGAAGAGATTTCACCCCATGCTTCCTGAAACACCTCCCACAAGTTGGATTGGCTTGATGGGCACTTCTTATGTACCATAAGGTCAAGCTACTCCCACAACAGCTCAATAGGGTTGAGATCCAGTGACTGTGCTGGCCACTCCATTATAGACAGAATACCAGCTGACTGCTTCTTCCCTAAATAGTTATTGCATAGTTTGGAGCTGTGCTTTGGGTCATTGTCCTGTTGTAGGTGGAAATTGGCTCCAATCAAGCGCGGTCCACAGGGTATGGCATGGCATTGCAAAATGGAGTGATAGCCTTCCTTCATCAAGATCCCTTTTACCCTGTACAAATCTCTCACTTTACCACCACCAAAGCATCCCCTGACCATCACATTGCCTCCACCATGCTTGACAGATGGCATCAAGCACTCCTCCAGCATCTTTTCATTTGGTCTGCGTCTCACAAATGTTCTTCTTTGTGATCCAAACACCTCAAACTTCGATTTGTCTGTCCATAACACTTTTTTCCAATCTTCCTCTGTCCAGTGTCTGTGTTCTTTTGCCCATCTTAATCTTTTATTTTTATTGGCCAGTCTGAGATATGGCTTTTTCTTTGCAACTCTGCCTAAAAGGTCAGCATCCCAGAGTCGCCTCTTCACTGTTGACGTTGAGACTGGTGTTTTGCGGGTACTATTTAATGAAGCTGCCAGTTGAGGACCTGTGAGTCATATGTTTCTCAAACTAGATACTCTAATGTATTTGTCCTCTTGCTCAGTTGTGCACCGGGGCCTCCCACTCCTCTTTCTATTCTGGTTAGAGCCAGTTTGCCCTGTTCTGTGAAGGGATTAGTACACAGCGTTGTATGAGATCTTCAGTTTCTTGTCAATTTCTCGCATGGAATAGCCTTCATTTCTCAGAACAAGAATAGACTGACGAGTTTCAGAAGAAAGTTATTTGTTTCTGGCCATTTTGATTCTGTAATCGAACCCACAATTGCTGATGCTCCAGATACTAAACTAGTCTCAAGAAGGCCAGTTTTATTGCTTCTTTAATCAGCACAACAGTTTTCAGCTGTGCTAACATAATTGCAAAAGGTTTTTCTAATGATCAATTAGCCTTTTAAAATGATAAACTTGGATTAGCAAACACAACGTGCCATTGGAACACAGGACTGATGGTTGCTGATAATGGGCCTCTGTATGCCTATGTAGATATTCCATTAAAAATCAGTCGTTTCCAGCTACAATCGCCATTTACAACATTAACAATGTCTACACTGTATTTCAGATCAATTTGATGTTATTTTAATGGACAAAAAAATTACTTTTCTTTCGAAAACAATGACATTTCTAAGTGACCCCAAACTTTTGAACGGTAGTGTATGTTCATTATTTTAACATTATCTTTGAGAAAACAAAATATGAAATATGTTACTGTACCTGTCTGGCACATGTCTCCTCCATAGGTGGGCAAGCAAAGGCATTTGGTTGAAGACCCACTGTCGACACATGTTCCCCCGTTGGAACAAGGGTTCTCTAGGCAGACATCTGAGACACAAAGGTAGGAGAGGGCAAGCATTGGCACCAATGTAAATTTATTTATTTTGATTTATTTAACCTTTATTTAACTAGGTAAGTCAGTAAAGAACCAAATCTTATTTACAATGCTGGCCTATGCAGTAAATCCAGTAACAACATATCTAAAATATATTTTTGTGTGTGTGTTCCATTTTTGAATCCACTCTTTAGTGTCAATGTAAAGGACAGATACTACGTGATCACTTTGTTGATTTACATGGGAATTTATTTGAAAGCCACTGGAGGGAGCCATTATACTAGCAGTACTCACCATCACTGACTGACAAAAGGCCTACAGTGGACTGAGAGGTCAGTTTATAGAAAATATATTTTACCTATACTTTGACCACTACCAGTCAAAAGTTTGGACACACCTACTCATTCAAGGGTTTTTCTTTATTTTTACTATTTTTTATATTGTAGAATAATAGTGAAGACATCACAACTATGAAATAACACAAGGAATCATGCTGTAACCAAAAAAGTGTTAAACAAATTCTTCAAATAGCCACCATTTGCCTTGATGACAGCTTTGCACACTCTTGGCATTATCTCAACCAGCTCCATGAGGTAGTCACCTGGAATGCATTTCAATTAACAGGTGTGCCTTCTTAAAAGTTAATTTGTGGAATTTATTTCCTTCTTAATGCATTTGAGCCAATCAGTTGTGTTGTGACAAGTCCATATTATGGAAAGAACAGCTCAAATAAGCAAAGAGAAACAACAGATGGGGCCACAGTGTCTCCGGACCGCTCCTGTCTCAGCCTCCAGTATTTATGCTGCAGTAGTTTATGTGTCGGGGGGCTGGGGTTAGTTGGTTATACCTGGAGTACTTCTCCTGTCTTATCCAGTGTCCTGTGTGAATTTAAGTATGCTCTCTCTAATTCTCTCGTTCTCTCTTTCTCTCTGAGAACCTGAGCCCTAGGACCATACGTCAGGACTACCGGGCATGATGACACCTTGCTGTCCCCAGTCCGCCTGGCCTTGCTGCTATTCCAGTTTCAACTGTTCTGCCTGCGGCTACGAAACCCCTACCTGTCCCAGACCTGCTGTTTTCAACTCTTAATGATCGGCTATGAAAAGCCAACTGAGAGACCTGAGCCCTAGGACCATACGTCGGGACTACCGGCCGTGGTGACTCCTTGCTGTCCCCAGTCCGCCTGGCCTTGCTGCTATTCCAGTTTAAACTGTTCTGCCTGCGGTTATGGAACCCCTACCTGTCCCAGTTACTTTAAGACATGAAGGTCAGTCAATACGGAAAATGTCAAGAACTATTAAAGTTTCTTCAAGTGCAGTCGCAAAAACCATCAAGCGCTATGATGAAACTGTCTCTCATGAGGACCGCCACAGGAATGGAAGACCCAGAGTTACCTCTGCTGCAGAGGATAAGTTCATTAGAGTTACCAGCCTCAGAAATTGCAGCCCAAATAAATTCTTCACAGAGTTCAAGTAGCAGACACATCTCAACATCAACTGTTCTTAGGAGACTGTGTGAATCAGGCCTTCATGGTCGAATTGCTGCAAAGAATCCACTACTAAAGGACACCAATAATAAGAAGAGACTTGCTTGGGCCAAGAAACACAAGCAATGGACATTAGACCGGTGGAAACTTGTCCTTTGGTCTGGAGTCCAAATTGGAGATTTTTGGTTCCAACTGGCGTGTCTTTGTGAGACGCGGTGTGGGTGAATGGATGATCTCCACATGTGTATTTCCCACCGTAAAGTATGGAGGAGGAGGTGTTATGGTGTTGGGGTGCTTTGCTGGTGACTGTCTGTGATTTATTTAGAATTCAAGGCACACTTAACGAGCATGGCTACCACAGCATTCTGCAGCGATATTTCATTCCTTCTGGTTTGTGCTTAGTGGGACTATAATTTGTTTTTCAACAGGACAATGACCCAACACACCTCCAGGCTGTGTAAGGGCTATTTTACCAAGAAGGAGAGTGATGGAGTGCTGCATTAGATGACCTGGCCTCCACAATCCCCCAACCTCAACCAAATTGAGATGGTTTGGGATGAGTCAGACCGCAGAGTGAAGGAAAAGCAGCCAACAAGTGCTCAGCATATGTGGGAACTCCTTCAAGACTGTTGGAAAAGCATTCCAGGTGAAGCTGGTTGAGAGAATGCCAAGAGTGTGCAAAGCTGTCATCAAGGCAAAGGGTGGCCATTTGAAGAATCTCAAATATAAAATATATTTTGATTTGTTTAACACTTTTTTGGTTACTACATGATTCCATATGTGTTATTTCATAGTGTTGATGTCTTCACTGTTATTCTACAATGTAGAAAATAGTAAAAATTAAGAAAAACCCTTGAATGAGTAGGTGTGTCCAAACTTTTGACTGGTACTGTAGATGACCTTTTCAAATGTTTTCAGATGGCATATATGAGGTGGAGCAGATATGCTTCCATGCTCTTTTTTAACCATGCCATTTTGTTAATGCCCCCATGCAGTCTTTTACATGTTATTTTTAAATTATCACTGTATGTCTAATAAATCACTGTGTGTGTTTATTTCATGAAAATATCTCCCATAGTCTCCTTTTGCCATTGAAATTATCAATATGATCGTGTGGGCGTGTTGATAGAAATCGAAATATATTTACATATACAGTCCTGCTTCGCGGATAGAATTGTCTAGACTCTAGATACATATGCAAATAAAAGATGGCTGGTCATTGGTCAGAATAATCAGATCAGATTGTGATGCCATGCTGTGGGCCAAAAACTCCCTCCCACCTGAACAGGCTGAAATTCCAGGTATTCTTTTTTTCTTATTCAAAAAGCTATTCCACTAAAAGGGAATTATCATCATTTTTACAATTTCACAGTGTTATTTCGACCTCATATTGTGGAAATATCATTTTTTTTTTATAATCATGCTTTATTTATTTCTGTTTTGGCTCTGTACTCCAGCACTTTGAAATGATACAATGACTATGAGGTTAAAGTGCAGACTGTCAGCTTTAATGTAGGGGTATTTTCATCCATATTGGGTGAATTTACTGCACTTTTTGTAGATAGTCCCCCCATTTTAGGGAACCAAAAGTATTTGGACAAATTCACTTATTAAAGTAGTTGAAAGTTTAGTATTTGGTCCCATATTCCTAGCATGCAATGACTAAATACAGTTTGTTTTGGTTGTGTTTCAAATTATTTTGTGCCCAATACAAATGAATGGTAAATAATGTATTGTGTCATTTTGGAGTCACTTTTATTGTAAATAAGAATATAATATGTTTCAGAACACTTCTACATTAATGTCGATGCTACCATGATTATGGATAATCCCGAGTTTATTGGGAATAATGATGATTGAGAAAGTTATAGAGAAGCAAAGGTTATACCCCCAAGACATGGTAACCTCTCTTTTTTGGGGGGGGGGTATGTTATCTATGCCTCTGTAACTTTCTCAGTCATCATTATTCTCGATTCATTCATGGTTATCCGTAATCAAGGTAGCATCCACTTTCATGTAGAAGTGTTTAGAATTGCATTGTCATGGTATCATTTAAAATCCAAAGTGCTGGAGTACAGAGCCAAAACAAAAACAAAAATTGTCAATGTCCGAATACTTTTGGAACTCACTGTATATTATGTTCCCAATCCTTTGCTGCTATGAACAGAGACAGCTCCTCCTGCTGTGTGTTTACCTCCAACAGAAACAATGATAATCCCCTTATTTTGCTGAGTCAGTTGTTTACTCTGACTGCCATGTGAATACTATTTTTTTCTGATGACTAAGCAGAATGGGGAGGCATGAGACCATAAAAGAAATACAAGAGTCAAGTGGGTAATTTAAGGTGAGGTATATGGTAGAAACGTATGCAATTATGTTTTGCATTAACACATACATTCAAATAATTGTCATGGTTGAGTTGCATTGAACGTTACCTGAAATGTTCCCAAATCTTTCTCTTGGAGTGGTAGGAGTGGTAATCAGTTTCTCCTCATCAACGTCCTCTTGATATAGGGGTGCTGTCGTCGTGGTCTGGTCATCGTAGTCCTCTGTGGTGAGCGTCGGGCTGGGGGTCTCCTCAGGCTCCTCAGTGGGTGGAGTGATGGAGTAAGGGTCCTCAGTGACTGAGGTCTCCCCACTGTACTCCAGATCTGCATCGGCCCGGGACTCCTGGGGTACGGTGGGGGAGGGCAGGGGGGTCTGGGACAAGTCAGGGAGCAGCGTGATCTCCATATCAGTAGAGGGCGCATCTGTGCTCGACTCAGGCTCGCTTTCGTCTGTGCCATTGACAGTTGTGCCATTGATGGGTGTGACAGTTTCATTCATGTTTGGGACTTCTGGTTCAAGGATCCCTGAGCTTTCTCCTGAAGACTCTCCTGTTCCTTCGGCGGATTCAGAGTGCTCCTCGCCTGATCCTGATCCTGAGCCTGACTCCACTCCCTCTTGGCCACTCACCTCCTGGTCACTGTCCTCGTTTCCACTCTCCTTGTCTCCACTCGCCTCCTGACCAGTCTCCTTGTCTCCACTCTGCCTCCTGACCAGTCTCCTTGTCTCCACTCGCCTCCTGACCACTCTCCTTATCTCCACTTCCTGACCACTCTCCTTGTCTCCACTGCCTCCTGACCACTCTCCTTATCTCCACCGCTCCGACCACTTCCTTGTCTCCACTCGCCTCCTTACCACTCTCCTTGTCTCCACCCGCCTCCTGACCACACTCCTTTTCTCCATTCACCTCCTGACCACTCTCATTGTCTCCACTCACCTCCTGACCACTCTCCTTTCTCCACTTCCCTCCTGACCACTCTCCTTGTCTCCACCCACCTCCTGACCACTCTCCTTGTCTCCACTCGCCTCCTGACCACTCTCCTTGTCTCCACTCGCCTCCTGACCACTCTCCTCTTCTCCACTCATCTCCTGACCATTCTCCTCATCTCCACTCCCCTCCTCACCAGAAGCTGTCTCTGGGGTAGTAGTCTCGACTACTTCTGGGATTTCACCCAACCCCTCTTGCTCCACCTTCTCCAGCCCTTCCTCCAGGGGATCAAACCCAGATGGAACGCTGGATTCGGGGATGAAGGTTATGAAGTCACCTGGGGAGCTGGCCTCTGCTTCCACAGATCGCTGGGTCGGGGGGGAATAGGTTATAGGTATGGGGGATGTCAAGAGGGTAACATCAAGCATTCCCTTGTGGACCCCAGAGGCTTCACTGGAGCCAGTGTCATAAGTAACTGTGAGGACTTTGTCAGTTGGAACTGAACCCAGGTCAGTGTGCTCATCCTGGTCAGTGGAGCCCATGGAAACCTTTGGTAATGAGTCCACTGAGGTGCCTCCTGCATCCTGCTCCACATGGTCATCTGGGGTAGAGGAGTCGGGTGACGTGACACCAGACTGCTCCTGAGTGGGGTCATAAGCTGCCAGGAAACAGAAAACAAACATTATTCAAGCCTACAGTTAGTGTAACCCTGCCCACACTTGAGTGTTCAGTTCATTAAAAAAAAAATCACACATTACATATGCACAGATGTTTTTATGTAATTTAATAAAGAGAGTCGCACACTCTATACATTGTACAAGCTGGGTAAACCACCAACGTTTCGTTATCACTGTGCCTTCTTCAAGGTGATGTCATGAATTGCTTGAACCAGGTTATGTAGACATCATGTTCAAGCGTTCATGACATTACCCTGAAGAAGGCACAGTGATGCTGATGTGTTGGTGGTTTATCCAGCTTGTATGTAGAGTGTCCGACTCTCTCTTTGAAAAATGTTTTTATAGCCTACAATTGTATAGCCTTTTATAGCATACCACCCTGCATCCCACTGCTGGCTTGGCTCTGAAGCTAAGCAGGGTTGGTCCTGGTCCGTCCCTGGATGGGAGACCCGATGCTGCTGGAAGTGGTGTTGGAGGGCCAGTAGGAGGCACTCTTTCCTCTGGTCTAAAAAAATATCCCAATGCCCCAGGGCAGTGATTGCGGACATTGCCCTGTGTAGGGACGTTAAACGGGTGTCTTGACTCTCTGTGGTCACTAAAGCTCCCATGACACTTATCTTAAGAGTATGGGTGTTAACCCCGGTGGCTAAATTCCCAATCTGGCCCTCATACCATCATGGGCACCTAATCATCCCCAGCTTCCAATTGGCTCATTCATCCCCCTCCTCTCCCCTGTAACTATTCTCCAGGTCGTTGCTGTAAATGAGAATGTGCTCTCAGTCAACTTACCTGGTAAAATAAGGGTTAGCTAAAAATAAATAATTAAATAAATACAATTTACTCTCCGTTAGTCAGCACCTCTACCACCTTTTTTGGGTGTGTGCCAGCTCATGCTTTTTATGTCATTTAATACCATTAAATACACATCTGAATATTTACTGCACTAAATCTTCAGTACATGACATAAATAAAAGTGTTTAAAAAATGCACAGAAAGGCTTCTCTATGGACTCACCATATTCAGAGGTAGGGATCAGTTCATAGGGGTCCATCTCCACTGGGCTTAGGGTAACCAGGTCTCCTGACTCAGCAGTAGCAGAGCCACTGTTCTCCCCTGTCTGGATGACCAATGAGTCCAGTGATGTGGTATGCTCCTCAGAGAGAAGGACACTGGCACTGTGGTCCACAGAGTTGGTTAGGCGATATTCAGTTGTTTTCTCAAAGTATGGAGGCTGAGTGGTGGACTGGTCAAGGAAGAGCTCTGTTTCCTCGTGTGGTGAAGTGGAAGATACAGATGTCTCCTCGACACCCCCAGCGATGGCTCCCTCAGGCCTGAAGGACCCTCCTGAGAGGTCGTAAGAGGTGCTTGGGTAGACCAAATCTGTGTCTGTGACATGCTCCACCTGGATGACACGCTCATCTCCGGAGTCGTCCTCCTCAGGTGTGGGCAGCCCACTTTCCAGTTGCTCCTCTGGAGAGCTGTCATACCTAGTAGTGGCTTCAACTCCGGATACATTGTAACCTGCAGCCTCAGAGGTAAAAGTGTAGTGTTCGGTCTCCTGGGTGATCTCTGTTTGCAGATGGCTTTCCTCTGAAATACCATACTGAGACTCTGTTGGCTCACCACTCTCAGGGGTTGTGCCAGGCATGGGCTGTGGATCACTGGACCCATCCACCTCCTCATACCCTGTGGTGGGCACGGGGGCCTCCAGAGAAGTCCCTGGTACACCCTCTACAGAGGGCTCTCCTGATTCCACGTTTGACTCTGACGAGGGCTGGTAGGGATCGGGGCTACTAATGTTGTCTTCATGAGCAGTTGTAAGATCACCTGATTCATCATTTGTCTCGGGAGAAGGTGGATACAGTGTTGGGTTTGCATTTAGCTCATCATAGGTTGTGACTCGGTAGTTTGAGTCTAAGTTTGCCTCAGGGGCAGGCTGATATGATTCTGGGTTGCTGACCTCTTGCACCGGCTGCCAGGTGTCCTCTGTGGGCTCCAGGTCTTGGGGGATGGATGTGGGGGTGTATGGGTCTTGGGGTTCAACCGGAAAGGGTAGCTCCTCGTGATAGACAACAGTAGGGCCCTGGCCATCGACAGCCCCCTGCTCCTCTCCAGGCTTGTCTGGGTACTGCTCCCCAGGAACAACCCCCTGTTCCTCTCCATGCTCCTCAGGCACAGCCCCCTGCTCCTCTCCATGTTCTCCAGGAACAACCCCCTGTTCCTCTCCGTACTCCCCAGGGACAGCCACCTGCTCTGGGTACTGCTCCCCAGCCACAGCCCCCTGCTCCTCTATATGCTCTGATGGGTACTGCTCCTCTGGAACAGGGATGGCAGCCAAGGAGCCCTGAGCTTCTTCACTCCCCACCTGCTCCGTCACCTGACCCAGGCTGAATTCCTCCAGAGGCTCAGACAGCGTCACAATGTCCTGGCCGATGTCCTCTGGCTCTGTTGCCAGGTAATCATGAGGAGATTCGGTGTGAGTGTTGCTGTTGCCTGTCAGATGCAAGGGCAATGAATCAAAGTTAGGCCAGAGGACAACTTAGAATACAGTAGGAACCGTGTATAACTTAAATATCTATGCTTTCAAAAGCTCTTACCTCGGAAGCAGTAAGTGTCGTGGCGAGTGTGTGCCTCTGGAAAGCCTGTCTGGTTCAAATGGCGATAGACAGTCCTGACCCCAGGCTCCCCTCCACCACAACGCTCCCTGGGAGTGACAATGGGGTAGCGTACACTCCCATCAGCCAACCACCCCGGGCTGCAGGCGTTCAGTCCGTCATTCCAGGCTGCATACAGCTGACCTGTGGTAGCCAGCTCCGCTCCCTGAGCCAGACAATAGGCCTTAGCTTCCCATAGGGTGAAACTTCGGGGGGCAGAGCCATGGAACACTTCCCCTGTAGATATGGAGGAAGAAGTCAGGTTGTGATAATCTGCACTTGATCAAATTCATGGAATACTCCCATAAAGACCAGATTTTCTTACCCTCTATGTTCTCCACATAACAGTATACATCATACAGCTCATCAGGTTCCAGCAGCCCATAGTTCCTAACTCCAGGATGCCCGTCCATGTCTCCAAAACATCCCTCTCGTGGCATCTGGATGGGATATCTGTGGAGAAGAGTGTTGATACTACATAGTGTTATACAACTGTTATAACAGGGGGGGAAATTTATAGAAGTGGATGAAAGCATCTCTCTATCTGTGTCCACTTGATATGAGAGAACATTTACAGTGGTCTTTTATCTGCCTGGCCCTTACCTCACTGAGTGGTCTGAGAGCCAGCCTGCATCACACTGCTCATAGCCACTGTGGTAGGCTGCCAAGAGCTGCTCTGGGGTGGCGATGTGAGCCCCGATCTCCTCACAGGCATCCCGGGCCTGCACAAAAGTAAAGGCATAGCGACTGGAAGCATCCCGGTAGTGGAACACTACCCCTGTTGAAGGTCCACAGTCTTGGCGTTATTTCAGATTCAGTATTTTGTGTGAACTACAGCTACATTCACAAGCGTAGGCTATATCTGATGTATTAGGTTACAAACTGCTCTGGTCAGGTAATCCATAATCTATTACTGGCTGGGTGCATAGGGTGGGACTACCAATTCATCTCAGCAGATTTTTTATGACATTATAAAGGTACAGAAGTGTATAATAAGTATACAAAACATTAAGATCACCTTGCAAATATTGAGTTGCACCCCCTTTTGACCTCAGAACAGCCTCAGTTCGTCAGGCCATGGACTCTACAAGGTGTCAAAAGCGTTCCACAGGGGTTCTGGCCCACGTACACATGGGAAACTGTTGAGCTTGAAAAACTCAGCAGTGTTGCCGTTCTTTACACAAACCGGTGCCTCTGGTACCTACTACCATACCCCGTTCAAAGACACTTAAATATTTTGTCTTGCCCATTCACCATCTGAATGGCACACGTACACAATCCATGTCTCATTTGTATCAAGGCTTAAAAATCCTTCTTTAACCTGTCTCCTCCCTTTCATCTACACTGATTGAAGTGGATTTAACAAGTGACATCATTAAGGGATCATAGATTTCACCTGGATTCACCTGGTCAGTCTATGTAATGGAAAGAGCAGGTGTTCTTAATGTTTTGTACACTCAGTGTAAGTGGTAATGTACAGTTAGTGTCTATGCTGTGTTTTGTAGGACATTCTTGGTTTCTCCTAGAGCCATCCTGTGACTAACACTTCTGACTGGCTCACTGCCTGCTGAGACACAAGCCTTGACACATGCACTTCTGAGTTGTTACTGCCATAGGTCAGGAACTCTGACTTATCCCCTACATCTATGACATCAACCCCTGGCCTCACCTTTGACCTTGACCTGAGCCACATCGTCGGCATCCTCCAGGCCCTGCTGCACCTCACAGCGGTAGAAGCCAGAGTCGTTGTACTGCAGACCCTCCAGCCTCAGGGTGAGGTCAGCTGGGGAGGAGGCGTAATGGAGCAGGGAGGCTCTGTCCTTGTAGGCCTCACTGACCTTCACCCTGTCCCCTCGGGCCACCAGGATCTCAGTCTCGTGTCCCTGGGACAGCATGCTCCACTTGACCCTGGGTAGGGAGAGGACGGCGTGGCGGCCATTCGTGTTGGGGGGCGGGTGGGACAGAGACACCAGGCAAGGTAGGGTAAGAGAGCCCCCCAAGACGGCAGATAAGGGAGGGGTCGTAGGGATGGTCACCTGTAGGAGTCTGGAGTCATCTGGAGAGTGCAGAATGAAGGGGTTAAATTTCTGACATTATACAGTCAAAAAGTTCACAGCTTAAAAACAATTGGGGAGGGGTTGGCGGTGTATTGGGGGGCGTGTCTGAGGTTGCAGTTGACGGTATTTGTTAAAGTCAGGAACCCATTTAAAAGTCTTGTCAGTTGCCACTTGCCGTCATGGTGTTGTTGACACAAATACCGGATGAGACACTTCCTCTGTACACCTGGGTACATCAGTTAACCTTGATTTCTGCTGTTAAAGTCACACCTAAAATAGTTTTCAGTGTGTGTCAGCGAAAACTATGAATGATCGGGGAGTGATTAAAAAGTGCCCCTCTACCCTTAGAAATCAAAGGTCATAGATAGTTGAATGGATGTCAGTATAGCCGGGGCTGACAGGGGGTAGTCACGCACCTGAGGCTTGGCTGGGGGTAGAGGAGGACGGTAGGATGAGCAGACAGATGGCACACAGCAGCAAAGACGGGAGCATCTCCAATCTGCAATAGAGAGGGAGAGAGAGAAGGGGGGGGTGGGGGGGGGGGAGAGACACAAAGAGAGAAAGACATTATCATAGTGAAAGCTTAATAGTAATAATGTAGAGAAAGTGAGGAAGAGGCAAAAAGGTAGGGATGACTCCCTCAATATCTCTCAGGGCCCTGCGCCATCTTCAGACACCTGGAGACAAAAATATACAAGTATTAATTCATGCTTACAGCCATTCATCAACCTCAGAGTAGATTACTAGACAGTGGCAAGTGGTCAGCTTTCACCAACCACCTCAGCCTCTAGGACCGTAAAATAAAAGCCATGGCTAAGACATCAGCACTGTCATTTAGCAGAGACCTTGAGAATGGATAGGATGGTGTGTTAATCCATCACATGATCAACCTGAAGACCTTTTGAAATCACTAATTAACAGATATTCAATCTTCATTTTGACAAATTGATTTGTATGTACAGTTTGAGGGATTGTTCTTTAGTTCTGCAGAATTTTGTTGAGCTTCCAATAAGTTAATTGATGAGTCTATGGGTTTGTCTTTGTGGGGTTTTGTGTTTTCACATGTGTATATAAATGTATTTAAGTCCGGGAGTGTCATTAGTCAGATTGTGTGTGTGTGTGTGTGTGTGTGTGTGTGTGTGTGTGTGTGTGTGTGTGTGTGTGTGTGTGTGTGTGTATAGTGTACTGTATGTGCCTTTTTGCATCTGTCAATTAAGTGTGTTAGAGAGTGACTGTCTGTGTGGCCTTGCTGTTATCCAGCTGGCATGAGTCAGACTTTGGGAGCTCTCGAGTGTGAGCAGAATTCTGATGTCCCCCAAATTCCCCCAGGATAGCATGGCAAAAAGCCTTTTCTCCAACTCGACTGCTTTATCATCATTACATCCCTTTCAGCAACCTAAATGTTAAATCCAAACCACCCCCACCCCATCAACATTACCCATGCACCAAAGACACACAGACACAGCTACACATTTTCCTGACTGACTCGATAGGACCGCAACATTACCCATTCTGAGCAGGCCAGTGAATTCAAATAAGCAGTGCGTTTCTTAGAGGGTGCAAAAATGTATAAGTGAATAGAGTCCCCCACTGGATGTGTTGGTGAATGGGGAATGAACTATGCAGTCATGCTGCAAACCCAGTGCACTGGGCGCTTTAGTGATCACTTTCTCACAGAGAATCTACACTGAGCGGACACAAAATTAAGAACACCTTCCTATTATTGATCAGAACCCTTTTGCACTCAGAACAGCCTCAATTCGTCGGGGCATGGACTCGACAAGGTGTCGAAAGCGTTCCACAGGAATGCTGGCCCATTTTGACTCCAATGCTTCCCACAGTTTTGTCAAGTTGGCTGGATGTCCTTTGGGTGGTGGACCATTCTTGATACTTACGGGAAACTGTTGAGCGTGAAAAACCCAGCAGCGCTGCCGTTCTTGACACAAACTGGCGCGCCTGACACCTACTACCATACCCCGTTCAAAGGCACTTAAATATTTGGTCTTGCCCATTCACCCTCTGAATAGCACACATACACAATCCATGTATTTCTCAAGGCTTAAAAATCCTTCTTTAACTTGTCTCCTCCCCTTCATCTACACTGATTGAAGTGGATTTAACAAGTGACATCAATAGTACGTTCTGTTTATTCCATATGTAACTCTGTGTTGTTGTTGTTTTTATCACACTGCTTTGCTTTATCTTGGCCAGGTCGCAGTTGTAAATGAGAACTTGTTCTCAACTGGCTTACCTGGTTAAATAAAGGTGAAAAAATAAAATAAAATAAGGGATCATAGCTTTCAACTGGATTCACCTGGTCAGTCTATGTCATGGCCAGAGCAGGTGTTATTAATGTTTTCTATACTCAGTGTACAGTACATTGCCTTTATTCAAATGCAAGTCTAACTTCAATGTAAATTCTTTATTCAACCTAAACTATCTAGTATTGTAGGTGGCATTCATTTATCATCAGGCCAATTATTTACATTTTAGTCATTTAGCAGACACTCTTATCCAGAGCGACTTACAGTTAGTGAATGCATACGTTTTGTTTTTGTTTTTTATACTGGCCCCCCGTGGGAAACGAACCCACATCCCTGCCGGCCAAACCCTCACCTACCTTGGACGACGCTGGACCAATTGTGCACCACCCATGGGTCTCCCGGTCGCGGCCGGCTGCGACAGAGCCTGGACTCGAACCAGGATCTCTAGTGGCATAGCTAGCACTGCGATGCAGTGCCTTAGACCACTGCGCCACTCGGGAGTATAATTATCTTTATAATGACTATTCTATCTGCAGATATATCCCTGTAATTCAAATGTCTTGATGTCCTAAAGTTTGTCTTAGGAAGAAGTGATGATTCCGCTAAATGGAGAAGCAGGAGGAAATGTCTACTGACAGCCCACGGTAACTGTAAAAGTCACATCCAGACCCTTTCATCTTTTTTACAAGCTATTTTACAAGCAACCAGTGGTTAGAGGAAGATAATCTCAACCTATACACTACACTGCCTGTCTGGATTGTTGCTTCACTTTTATACAGAATCCTGATATTGTGGAAAATCACATCAGGCACTGGAATTAGGTCAAGAAGAACTAAATTAACTGGAAATAAAGGCAGAAATTAATGTTGGTTTTGTAGTAATCCGACTGCGCTTAATGATAAACTACCCAAAGTTCCCATGTAATACTCTATTTTCATAGTTTGAAGTACAGTGACCTATTGCATAACATAAACTGTAAATCCATTTGTAAACATGGTGATTGTTAGAGTGTGATCTCTGCAAATACAGTAGAGGAGTAGTGATAGAAATGTGTAATGGTGGGTAAATTGCACATGGTCAAAACTGTCTCGAAATTGAAAAATGAAATTGGGGAGCTGATAGAGTATATCCGTGGCAGTCTTCATAACAGTAGATGGAGAGAACGTGGACAAACAAATTAACCGTCACACTGGCAGCCTTCCCTCTCCTACTTGTCTCAGCTCCGGTTTCTAGGAAAATCAAGTATTTTTTGTCCAGTTCCTCAATTACCCTCCATTCAATCTTCCTCAAGCCTATGACTGTTAATTAAGTATGTAAGCAGACAGCATTGATATGTATTCCTTTCCCCCATCACCCCAAACATCACCACCCCCCAATATCCACACACACACACACACTAGAGCTGGGACAATAAACCCCAAAATAATCGATACTGACCGAACCAACCATTTATCGAGGGCAATGTGAAGTTTGAAATGAAACGGGACAATGGTAGCCACAACATTCAAAGTGGTAGAAGTCGTTTTAAGTGTAATATAAAAAAGTAACTGGTGCACATAAACTTATCGTTCAACTTATCATTATCATGATAATTCAGTAAATGTATCATGATATGGATTTTTATTCATATCGCCAAACTCAAACACACACACACACAGTAGTTTTCTTCCCTGCTGTGTTGGGCGCATGGCCCTTAGCCACGACTACATTTCCATACTCCAAGGAGAGTATGGAGGAGGACGCATCCCTCTGGGGAGAGAGAGAGGAGGACGCATCCCAGGCAACCTCAGATGTGCTTAGACATGCATCACAAGTGGCTGGAATAACCAATGACTTCACCTTGGTCTGACCAGAAAGGTAATTTCAGGCTGATGGACTGCAGTATACAGTGTTGTTGATGGGGATGATGGTGGTGGGAAGGGGGAAGTGTGTGCGTGTGGAAGTACCTCTGTGGTTGAAGTAATGGTATGATACATCATTCTCTATGGTCAAATAGAATACTGTGAACACGAACACACACACACCTGGCCCACACAGCCTCTCTCTTCTGTAGCTTATCAAACACCAGCTGTCCTAGTCATTCTTTTCATCTTGTTCCCCAATCTGATTGACTCCCCCTCCTTTCATGGAAATGACACCCACCACCACTGCTGCCAGTCTGCCACCCTCCATTACCCGGCCTTGTTCCACCCAACCACCCCACCACCACGCCCACCCTCCAATCCTGCCTCGCGTTACCTCGAATGACTCCATCTGCCCATCTCTAGGGGCAACCCATACCCCCTCACAGGCCCAGGCTGGCAGGAAGCACAAAGGGGGGAAGGGGGGGGGGGGGTGAGAATGACAAAGAAAGGGGCTATGAGAGAGAGATTGGGGGGCCAAAACTGTACAGAGTGCACTGAGTGCAGTGAGAGAGGAAAGAGAGAGAGAGAGAGAAAGAGAGAGAGAAAGTCAGCAGGAAGGAAGCTTTAGTGTGATTCAACAGTCCCCCTCCGGCAGGGCAGGACACAACAGAAGGTCCAGCTGAGGAGTGACATTAGCCATATTGCTATTAGCGTTAGCCGCTAGCCACTCCAGCCAAAGGGACTGACTCATGGTGGTGGATGTGGGGGGTGGGAGCCATGGCCCATTTGTAGCCTGTGCCACAGGCTGATTAGGCAGAAATGCAGGGCTTCTGAGCACTTTAAGGGCTTATGGGAGACTGTCAAGGCAAACTGTGGCAACTCTCACAGCAGTACACCAAATCAGTCCACTCTCATCAGTCAACAACACGAAGATGGTGCAATGACCTATTTAGAAACCAGTGAGCTCATATTTGCATTGGACAGTCATATTTGTGAGGTTAGTCAAACTGAGAAGGATAACCCAGATACCATAGTTTCAAAGCTTCTGTCTTGACAGTCAGGCTGCAAGGAGAATTTTAATGGTAGGTTTATTTGAACAGTGAGAGACAGAATAACAACAACAAAATCCAGAAAAACGCATGTCAAAAATGTTATAAATGTATTTGCATTTTAATGAGAGAAATAAGTATTTGACCCCCTCTCAATCAGAAAGATTTCTGGCTCCCAGGTGTCTTTTATACAGGTAACAAGCTGAGATTAGGAGCACACTCTTAAAGGGAGTGCTCCTAATCTCAGTTTGTTACCTGTATAAAAGACACCTGTCCACAGAAGCAATCAATCAATCAGATTCCAAACTATCCACCATGGCCAAGACCAAAGAGCTCTCCAAGGATGTCAAGGACAAGATTGTAGACCTACACAAGGCTGGAATGGGCTACAAGACCATCGCCAAGCAGCTTGGTGAGAAGGTGACAACAGTTGGTGCGATTATTCGCAAATGGAAGAAACACAAAAAAAATGTCAATCTCCCTTGGCCTGGGGCTCCATGCAAGATCTCACCTCGTGGAGTTGCAATGATCATGAGAATGGTGAGGAATCAGCCCAGAACTACACGGGAGGATCTTGTCAATGATCTCAAGGCAGCTGGGACCATAGTCACCAAGAAAACAATTGGTAACACACTACGCCGTGAAGGACTGAAATCCTGCAGCGCCCGCAAGGTCCCCCTGCTCAAAAAAGCATATATACATGCCCGTCTGAAGTTTGCCAATGAACATCTGAATGATTCAGAGGAGAACTGGGTGAAAGTGTTGTGGTCAGATGAGACCAAAATGGAGCTCTTTGGCATCAACTCAACTCGCCGTGTTTGGAGGAGGAGCAATGCTGCCTATGACCCCAAGAACACCATCCCCACCGTCAAACATGGAGGTGGAAACATTATGCTTTGGGGGTGTTTTTCTGCTAAGGGGACAGGACTACTTCACCGCATCAAAGGGACGATGGACGGGGCCATGTACCGTCAAATCTTGGGTGAGAACCTCCTTCCCTCACCCAGGGCATTGAAAATGGGTCGTGGATGGGTATTCCAGCATGACAATGACCCAAAACACACGGCCAAGGCAACAAAGGAGTGGCTCAAGAAGAAGCACATTAAGGTCCTGGAGTGGCCTAGCCAGTCTCCAGACCTGTAATCCCATAGAAAATCTATGGAGGGAGCTGAAGGTTCGAGTTGCCAAACAGCTACTTGATTGTACATAGGAACATGATTAAGAGACCAGTAACGTCAGGCTGACAGCTAGGGCAGTATCCGGCCCTGTTAAAACTCAGCTAAGTAGCATCAAAGTGCACCTTATTCTTATATGCCTCTACTTTCTTTATGGAAGAGCTAATAAATGGTCCTGTGAGGCTCAGTTGGTAGAGCATGGTGCTTGCAAAGCCAAGGTTTGTGGGTTTGATTCCCGCTGGGGCCACACATACGAAAATACAGTATATGCTTGCATAACTGTAAGTCGCTTTGAATAAAAGTGTCTGCTAAACGGCATATATTATTATGATACAGACCTTATCATTTCTCCGGTGACTGGTTGGCTGAATATTCAAATATAGAAGTTTCAAGCTGACAAACAAAAGTTAATTATTCTCTCTTTCTTGGACAGCAGAGTGATATTATGCACTCCCCCTGCCCTCTCTCTCTGCTACCACTCCATACAGTAGGCCATGCGTGTCACTTCCTCTGCTCACCACACCCCTCTTCATATTTCAGGGAGCTCCTCATGGCTGTCCCTACCTGAGGCCAGAGTGATGAGTACATCCAAGGGCCAGACTGGGCTTGGGGGTTCTCTCACACGCAAACGCAAATCTCTGATTCTAAGACTTTTACAGTTCCACTTCTCCATGTAAAAGTACAAGGCTTGTGGACATACGTACTGTATCAGGCAAGTCCTGATTGGGGCCATAGTACTAAACTAGGTCAATGTACTGTATGGGTCCATGTTAGCTCTTTTAAAATGACATCTACCAGAAACAGAAGTGTTGATAAATTGACAATGAGAGTTCATGTGTGCAACCCATCGCTTGAAATAGCCTATACATTGTAAGTGCCCCTTACTATCAAGAAAACTAGCCAAATATGTATGCTGACTGAGAGGTGTAGAGCAATTAGCTAGCTACCTGTTCCAACATAACTATCACTTACCATTTCACAAAACATCTATGTTAGTCCACTCAAATATCAACTGATAGGCAGTCTCTTCCATTCTGTGTCCAAGCCTTTGATGCCCAGTTCAGAGATATCTATGTCTTAATCAATATGTTTAAGCAAAGCCACTGTTATTAATGTCAATACAGTAGTTGGTTGGGGGAAAATAAACTGTTTTCCCTGTCACAGAATGTCCATATGTAGCCAGTTTGGAGTACAACTTGTATTTCTATAGGTACAAGTAGGCCTACAAAAACAGTGTGCATTGCCCAATGCCCCATATGTTATACTTCATCAAATCAGTTTGATCATAAAATCAGTTTGGAGTGAATCATTACACAGCACTGTAGCAGGTGCAATCTGTCTGGATCCTGCTTAACTGTGCTCAGCAAACAATACATGAGAAAAATGTTATTTTAGCTTTATATACCATACATTAATAATTGAGATTGTGGGTTCCTGGTATTTAAATCAAAACAACTTTATAGCAAAATAAACTTCCATAAAATTGTCATTTTGACCTACAGCATAGCAATAACAGTAGGCTAAAAGAGGTGGTAGAAAATATTTATTTATTTATTTCTGACAAAAAACATATAGGCTATATTGTTTAAAACGTTTTTCGAAAATGTCTCTAATTTGCTCTAATTATGGCAAAATGTATTGAGCATTTTATGTTTGATTTATACAACGAAAAAACATTTGTTCGCTAATTCATGACCAAAACTTGTTATTCTGCGACAGAAATGTATTCTAATATTTATCAAGGACATGCCAAAAATATATGACTTACAAATCCATCACCTACCTCGTTTAAACGACGCTCTCGAATTGTCCTTTGTGTGTACCTTTGTCTTTTGAATCAGACTCGACAGGTGCAACTTCTAATAATTATTTTTCCAACAAACTTGAATTAAATTAGACAATGGGTTGTCAGGTACGAGGATCCCCCACGTTGAATTGAAAAGGGTAAAGAACTACTTGAGCTCCGTCCGCCAGCGAAGGAAGCAACATAAAGAGGGATTGGAATAGGGGGCAGAGAATTATGCACTGCAAAATCTTGAACAGCCCACTTTCTTCCTCCGACCAAGAACACTTTCCCATTTGCGGGATGATGGAGAAAGGGGGGATGTGTGACAGAGATGCTCAGGAGACTACGATCGAAATAACGAAACGGACAAATCAATCACACACAAGGATGCAGGTTGAAGGAATCACTTCAGGGGGAAATAATATCAGAAGTCAATAGCCTGAATTCAACGCTGCAAGTCAGTGTGTCAAAGCAGGACTCAAGATGCTGTGTGGTCCGATAAGCGACACATGTGAAGGGCCATGATCCCACACCATCTCGCAGCAGAGGGTACCACTGAGGATGCTGAAGTGGGACTACAATAGAGCCCTATAGGCTACCAGCAGCGCCCATTCACATACTCCAGTTATCTATACTACAATTACAAAAAACAACACTTCAGTCTGCTGGTTTTTCAATCTTTCAATTGTTCAATTTAGAGCAATCATGCGTAAATGTTTAATTTGACCAACCATACTTGTAAACCACTGAAATGATTTGTTTCCATGCTCCAAATTCAGTGAGAAGAGAACACATCATGGTGATTTGATTAGGCCTATTCATTGCCTGTCATGAAGAATATGACCAGTTATGACCATCGCTGATCACGCATAATTAGAAGAGGGAATCTTCATTAAAATCCTCCTCCTACAAGCTCCCCTGAAATATTGCAAGGCTCTCAAGAAATTAACAATTCATCCAAGACTGAGGGTTAACAGCTAATGGTGAAAAATTATCCTCATTATGTGCCCCTGCACAAAGGGATTCATTGAGGGTTAGTAATCTGGGATAATCTTGACTAACTTGTGGATGACAGCAGATGTTTTTGCTCAACCTGTCGACAACATGAAAGGCCAAACAAAGGTCAAGCGTCACAATCACATTGCTTTGAGTTCCATTTGGATGCTTATGCAATTTCAGTTCCCAACTAAACAAAATCTCTATGGGATTCATCAAGACCTGTATTGGATTACTTGCACAACAATATGAGTGTGTGGAGGAACTATTTGTCCTTTCACAGCCATCAGAGTTAACCCAGTTTCCTATAAAAGTCAAACATGACACAGGTTGAAAGGACGTGGGAAACGATCATGTACATATTTCCGACTAGACACAAAGCAGGACCTTGCTTTCGCGTGGACAGGCTGCAGAGTCAGGCTCACCACTTGTGGACAGAGGGTGGATGCTGGCCAGCCACAGAGGTTTTAATGGTCCAAATTAGAGAAGTTAGAGAAGTGGGTGTGCCATAGTAGTAGTGCTGAGCAAGAGCTCTTGGTAAGAGGGGAGGGTGAATACGGCTTTGTTCATAGCCTTGCTCAGCTGACAGTCGTGGCTGAGTGGCGGGCTGTGGAGGAATTTAACATATAGGCATGGTGCGGGACGGTCAACATGAGTGCTGGGAAGCCAGTGGGACGGACGCCGCTGTTGGACTGCAGGCCCAGAGGCATAGATATGATGGCAGGCTGGCTGGGAGAGAGTCGCCCCATATTCATGTCTGCTTCCTTTTTTTCCGCCATGAACTTCCCACCCCCAGTCTAGTTCATTCTTGGTTATTGTGACCATCCATGTCAATGTTATAATTGATAATGTGAGGGCCAAAACATAATTGCAGAAAATAAATGTTACATTACAAATAGGTCAGTGAAAGGGGCCTATAACTTTGACAACTTTAATAACTTGCTCAGGGGATACTCATTCCAGGCAACGTTTCCCAATTCATTCAGCTATATCCCTTCATGGCACAAATACATGCATTCCACCTGGGATTAAATCTGATCACTGACCTGATTGTTCCACTGCTGTAATACTTAACTGCCTTCAATATTAATGAGAACCTGTTTGGCTCATCTCACAGACGGCATCCTTCTTCAGCTGTGTCACTGATGAATGCGTTGGTAGAAAGTCATTTCTCAACCTTTTGCAATGACTTCTCTGCACGGCACCTGCAGGCATTTTGTGGCAGAATTTAGAGCTCAAGCTTCTCTGGCATTTGTAAAGGTCCACTCTGCGGTGCCTACACCAGTGGGAGTGGAGTTAAAAGAGAATATGCATGCGACACAATTTATTCCTTGACATGAAATGGTAAAAACCATTTGACAAGAGGAAACATTGGAAAGCTCCAACAAGTCAAAGATTTTTTGTGAAATGAATCGTCTTTTAACCTCAGTGGATAGCTATTGTGAAGAGTCAAGATAAATCAGTCAAGATGTCTGTCAAGGTTAAACAAGGGTCCACGTAACCAGTGAATGGGTGGCAGCCGGGAAGACTGGCATACATTGGGTTGCGAAATAATTCACCACCCTTGGCATTTTTCCTATTTTGTTGCCTTACAACCTGTAATTAAAATCAATTTTTTTTTTGGGGGGGGGGGGGGTTGTATCATTTGATTTACACAACATGCCTACCACTTTGAAGACAAGAAATTAGACAAAAAAACTGAAAACTTGAGCGTGCATAACTATTCACCCCCCAAAGTAAATACTTTGTATAGCCACCTTTTGCAGCAATTACAGCTGAAAGTCTCTTGGGGTATGTCTCTATAAGCTTGGCACATCTAGCCACTGGGATTTTTTCCCATTCTTCAAGGCAAAACTACTCCAGCTCCTTCAAGTTGGATGGGTTCCGCTGGTGTACAGCAATCTTTAAGTCATACCACAGATTCTCAATTGGATTGAGGTCTGGGCTTTGACTAGGCCATTCCAAGACATTTAAATGTTTCCCCTTAAACCACTCAAGTCTTGCTTTAGCAGTATGCTTAGGGTCATTGTCCTGCTGAAAGGTGAACCGCCGTCCCAGTCTCAAATCTCTGGAAGACTGAAACAGGTTTCCCTCAAGAATTTCCCTGTATTTAGCGCCATCCATCATTCCTTCAATTCTGACCAGTTTCCCAGTCCCTGCCGATGAAAAACATCCCCACAGCATGATGCTGCCACCACCATGCTTCACTGTGGGGATGGTGTTCTCGGGGTGATGAAAGGTGTTGGGTTTGTGCCAGACATAGCGTTTTCCTTGATGGCCAAAAAGCTAAATTTTTGTCTCATCTGACCAGAGTAGTTTCCCACATGCCTTTTGGCGAACATTACATTTACATTTTACATTTTAGTCATTTAGCAGACGCTCTTATCCAGAGCGACTTACAGGAGCAATTAGGGTTAAGTGCCTTGCTCAAGGGCACATCGACAGATTTTTCACCTAGTTGGCTCGGGGATTAGAACCAGCAACCTTTCGGTTACTGGCACAACGCTCTTAACCACTAAGCTACCTGCCGAACATCAAAAGTGTTTGCTTATTTTGTTCTTTAAGCAATGGATTTTCTGGCCACTCTTCCGTAAAGCCCAGCTCTGTGGAGTGTACGGCTTAAAGTGGTCCTATGGACAATCTCCGCTGTGGAGCTTTGCAGCTCCTTCAGGGTTAATATTTGGTCTCTTTGTTGCCTCTCTGATTAATGCCCTCCTTGCCTGGTCCGTGAGTTTTGGTGGGCGGCCCGCTCTTGGCAGGTTTGTTGTGGTGCCATATTCTTTCCATTTTTTAATAATGGATTCAATGGTGCTCCGTGGGATGTTCAAAGTTTCTGATATTTTTTTATAACCCAACCCTGATCTGTACTTCTCCACAACTTTGTCCCTGACCTGCTTGGTGGTGCCCCTTGCTTAGTGGTGTTGCAGACTCTGGGGCCTTTCAGAACAGGTGTATATATACTGAGATCATGTGACACTTAGATTGCACACAGGTGGACTTTATTTAACAAATTATGTGACTTCTGAAGGTAATTGGTTGCACCTGATCTTATTTAGGGGCATCATAGCAAAGGGGGTGAATACATATGCACACACCACTTTTCTGTAATTTTTTTTATTTCACTTCACCAATTTTGACTATTTGTGTATGTATGTCCATTACATGAGATCCAAATAGAAATCAATTTAAGTTACAGGTTGTAATGCAACAAAATAGGAAAAACGCCAAGGGGGATGAATACTTTTGCAAGGGACTGTAGAGTGGCATGCCCTCTCAGAATCACTGGTACATTCTGGCGAGAAGGTGTAATGTCCTGGATTTAGCCACCAGGAGCTCTGGCACCAGCGGTGGCGAGTACGTGGTTTTCAGTTGCCTGCTCGGTCAATAGAGGTAGACCAAGGCTGACATGAGAAGAACAGAAAGGTTCTCTGTGAAGACCTAGCATAGGTCTTCACAGAGGGAGGGGGGGAAAACAGAACAGCCAAAGGCAGTAGCACACGGTTCACACCCTGACCTGGGCAGGAGATGGTACAACAGGGGCCTCTCTCTATGGGTCCCGCAGCACTGAAGTATAGGTCTACAGTCAGCTCCAGCAGATAATGTCTACAACAGCAACATGAATCAATGTGATTTCTAGTTTTGACACAAATACTTTTAATTGAGTATTGCCGTTGAGCTAATGCGTCGCTACATTATCCACTGAAAAGAAAACTGGATGACATAATACATTAGGTTTGTTTAATGACTACTGGGGCCGTAGTCTACCCACACCGGTCTGGCACACTTGTGTTGAATGGTGTCTTGGTAACAGTCGTGAGTCAATAGGACCACAATCTACTTTCCACAAGAACCCTTTTGGAAAGATTCTGGAAACCCCTGTTCAATCTCAAGTCCCTGGACAGACATACAATTGCCTCTGATAATAACCATTACACAATAAGTCATGTAGGCTTGAAAGTTTGTAACAGTATTTATTATTTTTTTTTCCCAGTTTGCCATTACAATGCTTGTTTAAAATCTATTTGTTCATTATACTGCAATATCAGTTGTATTAAAATCGATTTTACTTTCTCCCTTAACTGAACATGGTGTACTGAGATACTGTATGTTAACAATTTAATATATAAAATAGAAATGTCTGAACAAATAACTCTAGACAATTCAAAGCATTTTTTTTCTTCACAGTACTGTGTTAGGAATTCAGTTAATCAAACCGAGGAAATAGACTGCACCCTTGTGGCAGAGGACTGCCATCTTGTGGCATAGGTTATCCACCACAAAATAAACAACTGCAACCCTGAAGGCAACTGTTTTTTGTTTTTTTAAACTGAAGTAGAAAAAGAGACAGAAGTAGCTGAGGTGAGAAGTGGAAGACCCGATAGTGATTTCTGAATGTTCAAATTATGTGAAACCTGATACATCCACACCACCTCTCAACCCTTTCACCACTTTCACTGGCTTTGACATTTGGAGGCTAAGGTCCTCTCCCACTCCACCTCCACAACTTTGTACAGTTCCATGGTGGCTTTGGCATCCTCCACAGACGAGTGCCCCTTCTTCCCAGTCTGAGAACACAAGGATAATTCCTTTTAACTACAAAATAACATAACCTACACAATAACAGGTTTATTAGAGGTTTATTAGCTTACTACTTTTGTTGAGACTAAAAACAATAACAACCTCGACAATCACTGCAGACTATATTCAAATCAATCCCCTTTCAATCAGAAGTCTCTTCTCACCTGGATGTTGCGGTTGAACAGGGCCTTGGTGAGTCTTTTCAGTGAGGCAACATCTTTCTCTGGAAAGCCAGCCTTCTGGTTGAGGAGAGGGATGCGGGAGGTGTCCCGCGTTAAGACAGAAGGGTGACTGTAACTCAGGGACTTGAAGTCATTGTGGACAGCATGCCCTATTACCACCTTCCCTGCAAGGATCTTCAGTATCTATAGGAGGAAATACAAATAAGAGATCAAATTATATCATAGTCATGTTCAGAGTAAAACAATTTTATTTAGTAAATATTTTCTTAACTATATTTATTGAACTGCATTGTTGGTTAAGGGCTTGTAAGTAAGCATTTCACAGTAAGGTCTACACCGGTTGAATTCGGCGCATGTGACAAATAAAATTTGAATTGATTTTAAAGCGACGGTCCAAATACAATAGGTTAAGGGGCAATTCCACGGTAACGGATTTACGCTTTGACTCAGTTTTTTCACTTGAATATGTATGCCAAACAAAAACCATTGATTTCAAAATTTAACAAACCATACAACCAATGTTCCCTCAAAATGTTTTCATCACTGAGCAAATTTCAGGTCTGCTGAGCACAAACTTGAACATTGTGAAAATTCTGTGTAACTTCCGGCGCGTTTACTGTGAACACTGAGGCTGTACACGCTTTAAGTTAGTTTTAACAGTGGCCAAGTAGGCTACTGTGGCTATTAGATCATAATGTATGCCTACCAGAATGGCCTTCCATCAAAAAACAATGGCAAAAATGCATCCCATAACATTTTAACATGGAAATAGCTGTTCTATCGTTCAGCCTACAGTAGCAGCCAATGTGTGGTGTTCAACGTAGGCCTACATTACATGAGACTTTTGAAAAAAAAACATGCAGGACTTGACATTAACCTGTTTATCCACTTGTCCTTCAGACAAGGAGGTGACTGAAAATGTTGTGGTGTTTGATGCAAGAAACCACGTTACAAAATAAAATGCATCATTATTCCCATCAAATTATTACAGAGAATCAGACAAATTATTCTACCCTCTGCCTATTGGCTACTTTGCTTATTCAAGCCTGTCTCAAAATACAACACTGCCCCTTTAAGACAAAAAAAAAGCTCTTTACCTGACTCGCTTTTCAAAGATGTCTAGAAATGCACACGTTTTGAGCTCTTGTAGGACGCAATCAATCCCCCATTGCTGATTACAAATTATATATAACTGGGCTAATAACTCACTAACTAGCAAAGGATCTGAACAAATGTACACGTCCCTACATGTAGCTCTCGCTTTGATCTCAAAACAAGCGCATCTACTCACAACCGCTCATGCTGTAAAAACAGTCCAGTTCGAAGTGAATTGGCACAGATCCATAGAGAGAGAGAGACTTGTCCAGACTGTTTTAACACTCTTGATTTGACCACCAATCAACAGAAAGAAAACAGTTATGAGCTGAACATAACAGTATGCCAGTGGATGGGAGGACAGTAGCAGGTAACCCAACTGTGGTTTGTGACTATTATGATTTCCAATTGTAGCCAACTCAGTTGAGGTAATTCCGTAACTGATTATTTTGGTAATTCCGTTAGCCATTTGGTAACAGAATTACAAGTTTGAATAACTGAATAATTGATATCAGTAAAATCACTATAACTTATTGGTAGGTCAACCACTACTTGTTACTTCGGTGAACTTTCATTATCCTCATGAGGGAGAGAAGTAAAAAAATATTTTAAAGATGTGGGCTTTTGGTAGTGGAATTACAAGGCACAAGTCAATATCTCTTAAACTTACAGAAGGTAAACAATTTACCCAAAACTAAATATAAGTGTTGATATTAGTTGGCAGGGGTCTTTACTTTAACATTACTGTGTTTTGATGTATTTCTGATACCTTTTCAGACTTTCTGGTATATGTTTTCAAAGACCCCTTTTCCATCTGTTTATCCAGAAATCAAAGCCTTTGCTAATACCACATTTTTAAGATGGAAAAATGGTTGAGAAATGTATATATGCCTTAATTTCCCCAAAATATAGACTCTTAGCTTTCATTTGATACCCAATTTGATATGCTCTTGGGTCCTTTTCGATTGAAAAAGGTTAAATGGATAAATGTTCCTCGTCCTTCGAACATTCTCCTCCGGGAGCCTTCTTACCTCCTTCCTGGCATGTTGAAATGGCATGGCTTTGACCAGTTGATGCCAGGAGATGCCACTCCAACGGGTCCGGTAGTCAGTGACTGGGTTGGTGGGCTTGATGTACCTGTCATACACCACATCTCCGTCATAGGAGACAATACTGCATCGTGCCAGCTCACTGTTGCGACCCTTGGGGCCTGTGCCGACCATCTCACAGTCCATGGCAAGGTACTTCAGGGGGTTACAAAGGGGGGCTGACCCACCTGGGACAGGGGCGCAGTGGGCAACGGTCCTGGGAGGTGGGGGTTGGTGCCCCGGGGTGGTAGTCGAAGTGGATTGCTCAGGATTGGTGGAATTATTCACAGTGATGGTCAAGGATGTTGAGCTGCTTGTGGATGATGCAGGCTTGGAAGTGAAGTTTCTGGCATGCTCTGAACTGGGTATGTGATATGAAGTTTTACTGTGAGTATTCTGCGTGTGAGCAGAGGTTTTGTTGTGTGCAGCATTGGGTTGAGATGGCCAATTGGCCCCATTGTGCCAGGGAGGTGGCCCCTGATGTTTATTCCCCTGTCTGTGATTGTGCTGGTTCTGCTTCTTGTTGAGGTAACCCTTTTTCTCCAAGAGTCGCCGCCTTTTGATGAATGCCTTGTGTTTGTTGCTTCCCGATGAGTCTTTACAGGGTCCACTGCTGCCAGAACAGTCCAGGTTTAACATCATGTCCGACATCTTGGAGGGGAATCTTCCTCAGCTGGAGCTGGGTTTGTTCTTGGACTAAAACGGTTGACGTCCCACTCCCTTCAACAGGACATGAAGGCCTTCACTGCTGTGTAAGATTAGGGTCAAATATTTGTTTTAATCAAATGTCATTCTGACCCAATTGTCATGACATCAATTGAAGCAGTATTGTGATACCTGGACAAAAATAAAATTGACTTATGTTAACAAAGCAGCTGGTATGTCTGAAATAGTGGGAAACCATTCTAGTCACAAACAAAGAAGCTAGCTAGCCATCTGTTTGATATCATCTAGTTCGTTTAGTACTAGCTTAGCATGGAACACATGAGCCCACGTAGCTAGCTAGCCACAATTAACGTTAGCTAGGTATTTTCGAAAAGTATGTGTATTCCGTGTAGTGCAAACGTTAGCGTGCTAGATAGCTGTCAGGATGATATTAGAATAGAAAATACGGCTTCGGCGAGCTAGCATTGGGTCCTTGGCTAGCTAGCTAACTAGCTACAGTAATACTCACTAGCTAGCTCTGATGCTAAGCTTCCCGAGACAGCGACTCGAACATTAGCCAGCTGGGATTTAAACTCTATTCTCCAGACAGACTAATTTTCCTGTATCATGCTCAAATCAGATTTATACAACAAATTACACATATACGCCGACGTATAAACAAAGCACCATGCTCCTATTTCCTTAGCAGCTACTTTCTTCTTCTTCTGTGGGTTTTATTACGGCTACATCCAAAAGTTGTATTGCCGCCACCAACTGGACGGTTTGAAACCAAAAATAAAATTAATAAATCCATACTTAGTGATACTAACAATCCACCCTAATAAAACAAGTACATTGCCAAAACAAACAAAACTACACTTCTTCCAGTTCTCCATATCTTCCTTCTCAGGCTCTAGGACCTGTAGCTCAGTTGGTAGAGCATGGCGCTTGCAACGCCAGGGTTGTGGGTTCGTTTCCCACGGGGGCCAGTATGAAAATGTATGCACTCACTAACTGTAAGTCGCTCTGGATAAGAGCGTCTGCTAAATGACTTAAATGTCAAATGTAAGGTCATACTGCTTTTGCTAATTTTCCATGTAACTCCTTTGCTGTGAAATCTTTCAGCCCCCGGAACCGCTCCGCCGCAATCTCAATGATTTCTATCTTCCTAGATCTTTTCTCCAACTTGGCAGTGCCATTTTATCACCATTGCGATAAAGGCCAACGTCCACCTTTTTAACCTTTCAAATGTCAGGATCCTCTTGGTGTAAGACAACCCCTGCAGCCTGCAGTAAAGGCCTATCCACTACCATGGACTCTTCTGGTACAACATTCAAACCCTCAACCCTTTTCACAGCTTCTGCATATGACATGCTCTGTACAACCCTGACTTTGGCCACCTCATTCTCCTTTACATTTGTGGGGCATTCAGAATACGTGGCTTCATGATTCCCACTGCAATTAACATTTTCTTCACTTTTATAACACATTATATGATATTTTCCACATCTTGTACATCTCGGCTTCTCCCTTCTGCAAACACTTTCTACATGACCAAAAGCTTTACAATGTTCACACTGCATTGGTCATGGGATAAACGTTCTAACTCTGTAATTAATATACCTTAACCGCACTTCATTAGGGAGAGAGTCCATTTAAAAAAACTAAAGAACAGATAAACACATTTTCCTTATTCACCACACGATTCATCCGACGTGCTTCAATCACTCCAGCAATATTTTTCATCTCTTCCACCTCAACTTCCCACGAAACGCCAGAAATAACCCCATTGACGGGTGCCCTGTTCCGAAGAGACACACAACACTTCAACTTATCAAATCGATTAAAACAAAACGCACGTTCCTTCTGATCCGCAGAATCACACAAAAAAAATAATCACATCCTTCACTTTACCCAGAACTCTCTCCACCAGTTTGGATAACTCAACTGGTTTATTCAAGATTGGTACTCTGCTCAGCTGCTCCTTATTAACAAACCGTACTCCTACTAGATACGAAGGATCATTCTCATCACTGTACCCTACTTTGCTCCGTTTTCCATTCTTTTGAACAATACTCAAATTCTCCTTGATTCTACCGCCATTGTATTCAGATTCCACTTCATCATCCGCTTCCGCCATCTTCCTCCTGTTAAACTAACCAATCGACTACTTCCGGCTCAGAGGTCGTGTTGTGAGAGCTACAAACAAACACTTCTTATCGTCGTTATAAAATTTCATTCAGAATAGCGTATTGTTGGAATGTTTCATGTTCACAGTTCATAACCGGTTGTTGTAGGTATCCAGTTGCCGATGCGACGGTCGAATGATGTGCTCACCGACACTTTCAGCAAAGCAGCAAAGAGAGTTGGCAAGAAATCTTACCCATTTTCTGTCGACATACAAACACATCTCCGATTCCTTCATAATTGTACGTACAAGCAACTCATTCTATTTCTATGTTTTTTAAGTTAAGCTTCTGCACGTTTTTATGAGGTTATACGATGATCACGTGATATATTGCTATCAAGTCTAGAGTCCACCGCTCCAGGTTGAAGTTTCCCCTACAGATCTAGGATCAGCTTCCCCTCCATCAATCCTGACCTAAACCATTATTGGGAAAAATTCTAAACTGACCAAAGGCCAGCGTGTAGAGGCAATTTCACCCTACACGCTCCCATGAAGCTTCATCCCTGTCTCAAATAGCCCCTGAATAGGTTTCTCTAGCTACTCTTCAATTCATGTGTTATTGATAATGTTTTCTACTGCCTTAGGAATTCTTCAGTGAGGATCTATGGGCTACATTGCCTACCAGATGGCAACAGGTCCTCTGTGACCTGTCACCCCCACAAATAGCTGACCTCCTATTGGACAGATTAAATGTGAATAGAAGGTATTCAGTCATACCAGTGTAGTCATTGAATTTGAATTGGATTCTATATCATAAAACTGTTTGAAATAACTTATACAATGTTCCTTTTTTATTTCAGCTACTCTTGTATATGGCCTCTTTCACTATTGGCTTTCCGGGCCACAGCTCATGCCCTGACGTTCCCCAGGACACCCCAGGGCAAGCGGGGACATGAAGTGGGCATGCTGAAGCCCGAGGAGTTCCTGGAGAACAGGAGTCAGAGCTCACTGCTGGGACACATATTCAGGAAACATGTGAAACCCAAGAAGCAGCATGAGATCCGGAGTCTGGGCACGGTAAAGATGTGCATACTACTTTTCATATAAATGGATGTGCATACTACTTTTTCATATATATACACACACAGTACCAGTCAAAAGTTAGGACACATTAATTCAAGGGTTTTTCTTTAATTTTTACTATTTTCTACATTGTAGAATAATAGTGAAGACATCAAAGCTATGAAATAACACATGGAATCATGTAGTAACCAAAAAAGTGTTAAACAAATCAAAATATATTTTATATTTGAGATTCTTCAAAGTAGCCACCGTTTGCCTTGATGACAGCTTTGCACACTCTTGGCTTTCTCTCAACCAGCTTCATGAGGTAGTCTCCTCAAATGCATTTCAATTAACAGGTGTGCCTTGTTCAAAGTTCATTTGTGGAATTTCTTTCCTTCCTAATGCGTTTGAGCCAATCAGTTGTCTTGTGACAAGGTAGGGGTGGTATACAGAAGATAGCCCTATTTGGTAAAATACCAAGTCCATATTATGGCAAGAACAGCTCAAATAAGCAAAGAGAAACTACAGTCCATCATTACTTCAAGATATGAAGGTCAGTCAATCCCGAAAATGTCAAGAACGGAAAGTTTCTTCAAGTGCAGTCACAAAACCCATCAAGCACTATGATGAAACTGGCTCTCATGAGGACCGCCACAGGAAAGGAAGTTCCCAGAGTTACCTCTGCTGCAGAGGATAAGTTTATTAGAGTTAACTGCAGCTCAGATTGCAGCCCAAATAAATGCTTCACAGAGTTCAAGTAACAGACACATCTCAACATCAACTGTTCAGAGGAGACTGTGTGAACCAGGCCTTCATGGTCAAATTGCTATAAAGAAACCACTACTAAAAGGACACCAATAAGAAGAAGAGACTTGCTTGGGCCAAGAAACACGAGCAATGGACATTAGACCGGTGGAAATCTGTCCTTTGGTCTGATGAGTCCAAATTAGAGATTTTTGGTTTCAACCGCCGTGTTTTTGTGAGACGCAGAGTAGGTGAACGGATAATCTCCGCATGTGTGGTTCCCACCGTGAAGCATGGAGGAAGAGGTGTCATGGTGTGGGGGTGCTTTGCCGGTGACACTGTTAGTGATTTATTTAACCAGCATGGCTACCACAGCATTCTGCAGCGATATGCCATCCCATCTGGTTTGCGCTTAATGGGACTATAATTTTCAACAGGACAATGAACCATCACACCACCAGGCTGTGTAAGGGCAATTTGACCAATAAGGAGTGTGATGGAGTGCTGCATCAGATGACCTGGACTCCACAATCACCCAACCTCAACCCAATTGAGATGGTTTGGGATGAGTTGGACTGCTGAGTGAAGGAAAAGCAGCCAACAAGTGCTCAGCATATGTGGGAACTCCTTCAAGACTGTTGGAAAAGCATTCCAGGTGAAGCTTCTTGAGAGAATGCCAAAAGTGTGCAAAGCTGTCATCAAGGCAAATGGTGGCTACTTTGAAGAACCTAAAATATAAAATATATTTTGATTTCTTTAACACTTTTCTGGTTACTACATGATTCCATATGTGTTATGTCATAGTTTTGAGGTCTTCACTATTATTCTACAATGTAGAAAATAGTAAAAATAAAGAAAAACCCTTAAATGAGTAGGTGTGTCCAAACTTTTGACTGGTACTGTGTGTGTGTGTATGTATACAGTGAGGGAAAAAAGTATTTGATCCCCTGATGATTTTGTACGTTTGCCCACTGACAAAGACATGATCAGTCTATAATTTTAATGGGAGGTTTATTTGAACAGTGAGAGACAGAATAACAACAACAAAATCAAGAAAAACGCATGTCAAAAATTAAAAAAATTAATTTGCATTTTAATGAGGGAAATAAGTATTTGACCCCCCTGCAAAACATGACTTAGTACTTGGTGGCAAAACCCTCGTTGGCAATCAGAGGTCAGAGGTTTCTTGTAGTTGGCCACCAGGTTTGCACACATCTCAGGAGGGATTTTGTCCTACTCCTCTTTGCAGATCTTCTTCAAGTCATTAAGGTTTCGAAGCTGACGTTTGGCAACTCGAACCTTCAGCTCCCTCCACAGATTTTCTATGGGATTAAGGTCTGGAGACTGGCTAGGCCACTCCAGGACCTTAATGTGCTTCTTCTTGAGCCACTCCTTTGTTGCCTTGGCCGTGTGTTTTGGGTCATTGTCATACTGGAATACCCATCCACGACCCATTTTCAATGCCCTGGCTGAGGGAAGGAGGTTCTCACCCAAGATTTGACGGTACATGGCCCCGTCCATCGTCCCTTTGATGACCTTGAGGGCGCTGCAGGATTTCAGTCCTTCACAGCATAGTGTGTTACCAATTGTTTTCTTGGTGACTATGGTCCCAGCTGCCTTGAGATCATTGACAAGATCCTCCCGTGTAGATCTGGGCTGATTCCTCACCGTTCTCATGATCATTGCAACTCCACAAGGTGAGATCTTGCATGGAGCCCCAGGCCGAGGGAGATTGACAGTTATTTAGTGTTTCTTCCATTTGCGAATAATCGCACCAAATGTTGTCACCTTCTCACCAAGCTGCTTGGCGATGGTCTTGTAGCCCATTCCAGCCTTGTGTAGGTCTACAATCTTGTCCCTGACATCCTTGGAGAGCTCTTTGGTCTTGGCCATGGTGGAGAGTTTGGAATCTGATTGATTGATTGCTTCTGTGGACAGGTGTTTTTTATACAGGTAACAAGCTGAGATTAGGAGCACTCGCTTTAAGAGTGTGCACCTAATCTCAGCTCGTTACCTGTATAAAAGACACCTGGGAGCCAGAAATCTTTCTGATTGAGAGGGGGTCAAATACTTGTTTCCCTCATTAAAATGCAAATCAATTTATAACATTTTTGACATGCGTTTTTCTGGATTTTTTTGTTGTTATTCTGTCTCACTGTTTAAATAAACCTACCATTAAAATTATAGACTGATCATTTCTTTGTCAGTGGGCAAACGTACAAAATCAGCAGGGGATCAAATACTTTTTTCCCTCACTGTGTGTGTATATATATTATATATATAATATATATATATATATATATATATATATATATATATATATATACAGTGGGGAGAACAAGTATTTGATACACTGCCGATTTTGCAGGTTTTCCTACTTACAAAGCATGTAGAGGTCTGTCATTATTATCATAGGTACACTTCAACTGTGAGAGACGGAATCTAAAATATGCTGGAGGAAACAGGTACAAAAGTATCTATATCCACAATAAAACAAGTCCTATATCGACATAACCTGAAAGGCCGCTCAGCAAGGAAGAAGCCACTCCTCCAAAACCGCCATAAAAAAGCCAGACTACGGTTTGCAACTGCACATGGGGACAAAGATCATACTTTTTGGAGAAATGTCCTCTGGTCTGTTGAAACGAAAATATAACTGTTTGGCCATAATGACCATTGTTATGTTTGGAGGAAAAAGGGGGTTGCTTGCAAGCCGAAGGACACCATCCCAACCGTGAAGCACGGGGGTGGCAGCATCATGCTGTGGGGTGCTTTGCTGCAGGAGGGACTGGTGCACATAAAAAAATAGATGGCATCATGAGGAAGGAAAATGATGTGGATATATTGAAGTACCATCTCAAGACATCAGTCAGGAAGTTAAAGCTTGGTCGCAAATGGGTCTTCCAAATGGACAATGACCCCAAGCATACTTCCAAAGTTGTGGCAAAATGGCTTAAGGACAACAAAGTCAAGGTATTGAAGTGGCTATCACAAAGCCCTGACCTCAAGCCTATAGAAAATGTGTGGGCAGAACTGAAAAAGCGTGTGCGAGCAAGGAGGCCTACAAACCTGACTCAGTTACACCAGCTCTGTCAGGAGGAATGGGCCAAAATTTACCCAACTTATTGTGGGAAGCTTGTGGAAGGCTACCCGAAACGTTTGACCCAAGTTAAACAATTTAAAGGCAATACACTCAATTAGTATTTGGTATCATGTAAACTTCTGACCCACTGGGAATGTGATGAAAGAAATAAAAGCTGAAAGAAATCATTCTCTCTACTATTATTCTGACATTTCACATTCTTAAAATAAAGTGGTGATCCTAACTGACCTAAAACAGGGAATTTTTACTAGGATTAAATGTCAGGAATTGTGAAATAACTGAGTTTAAATGTATTTGGCTAAGGTGTATGTAAACTTCCAACTTCAACTGTATATACATACAAATACACACACACACAGTGCCTTCGGAAAGTATTCAGACCCCTAGAATTTTTCCACATTTTGGTACGTTACAGCCTTATTCTGAAATTGATAGTATTTTAGAATCTACACAAAATACCCCATAATGACAAAGCAAAAACAGGTTTAGAAATGTTTGCTAATAAAAAAAATTAAAAAATGAATGCATTTTTACATTTACAAAAGTATGCAGACCCTTTACTCAGTACTTTGTTGAAGCACCTTTGGCAGTGACTAAAGCCTCGACTCTGGATATGACGCTACAAGCTTGGCACACCTGTATTTGGGAAGTTTCTCCCATTGTTCTCTGCAGATCCTCTCAAGCTCTGTCAGGTAGATGGGGAGTGTTGTTGCACAGCTATTTTCAGGTCTCTCCAGAGATGTTAGATCGGGTTCAAGTCCAGGCTCGGCCACTCATGGACATTCAGAGACTTGTCCCAAAGCCACTCCTGCGTTGTCTTGGCTGTGTGCTTAGGGTCGTTGTCCTGTTGGAAAGTGAACCTTCGCCCCAGTCTGAGGTCCTGAGGGCTCTGGAGCAGGTTTTCATCAAGGATCTCTCTGTACTTTGCTGTACTCCGTTCATCTTTGTCTCGATCCTGACTAGTCTCCCAGTTTCTGCCGCTGAGAAACATCCCCACAGCATGATGCTGCCACCACCATGCTTCACTGTACGGATGGTGCCAGGATTCCTCCAGATGTGACGCTTGGCATTCAGGCCAAAGAGTTCAATCTTGGTTTCATCAGACCAGAGAATCTTGTTTCTCATGGTCTTTCCTTTAGGTGCCTTTTGGCAAACTCCAAGCGGGCTGTCAAGTGCCTTTTACTGAGGAGTGGCTTCTGTCTGGCCACTCTACCATAAAGGCCTGATTGGTGGAGTGCTGCATAGATTGTTGTCCTTCTGGAAGGTTCTCCCATCTCCAAAGAGGAACTCTAGAGCTCTGTCAGAGTGACCATCGGGTTCTTGGTCACTTCCCTGACCAAGGCCCTTCTCCTACGATTGCTCAGTTTGGTGAGTCTTGGTGGTTCCAAAGTTCTACATTTAAGAATGATTGAGGGCACTGTGTTCTTGGGGACTTTCAATGCTGCAGACATTTTTTGGTACCCTTCCCCAGATCTGTGCCTTGACGCAATCCTGTCTTGGAGCTCTACGGACAATTCCTTCGACCTCATGGCTTGGTTTTTGCTGTGACATGCACTGTCAACTGTGGGACCTTATATAGACAGTTGTGTGCATTTCCAAATCATGTCCAATCAATGAAATTTACCACAAGTGGACTCCAATTTGTAGAAACATCTCAAGGATGATCAATGGAAACAAGATTCATCTGAGCTCAATTTCAAGTCTCATAGCAATGGGTCTGAATACTTCTATTTTTAATAAATTTGGTAAAATGTATAAAAACCTGTTTTCGCTTTGTCATTATGGAGTATTGTGTGTAGATTTGAGGATTTTTATTTATTTCATCCATTTTAGAATAAGGCTGTAACGTAACAAAATGTGTAAAAAGTTAAGGGGTCTGAATACTTTCCGTAAGCACTGTATATTATATATATATATATATACACTGCTCAAAAAAATAAAGGGAACACTAAAATAACACATCCTAGATCTGAATGAATGAAATAATCTTATTAAATACTTTTTTCTTTACATAGTTGAATGTGCTGACAACAAAATCACACAAAAATGATCAATGGAAATCAAATGTATCAACCCATGGAGGTCTGGATGTGGAGTCACCCTCATTAACTAAAGTGGAAAACCACACTACAGGCTGATCCAACTTTGATGTAATGTCCTTAAAACAAGTCAAAATGAGGCTCAGTAGTGTGTGTGGCCTCCACGTGCCTGTATGACCTCCCTACAATGCCTGGGCATGCTCCTGATGAGGTGGCGGATGGTCTCCTGAGGGATCTCCTCCCAGACCTGGACTAAAGCATCTGCCAACTCCTGGACAGTCTGTGGTGCAACGTGGCGTTGGTGGATGGAGCGAGACATGATGTCCCAGATGTGCTCAATTGGATTCAGGTCTGGGGAACGGGCGGGCCAGTCCATAGCATCAATGCCTTCCTCTTGCAGGAACTGCTGACACACTCCAGCCACATGAGGTCTAGCATTGTCTTGCATTAGGAGGAACCCAGGGCCAACCGCACCAGCATATGGTCTCACAAGGGGTCTGAGGATCTCATCTCGGTACCTAATGGCAGTCAGTCTACCTCTGGCGAGCACATGGAGGGCTGTGCGGCCCCCCAAAGAAATGCCACCCCACACCATGACTGACCCACCGCCAAACTGGTCATGCTGGAGGATGTTGCAGGCAGCAGAACGTTCTCCACGGCGTCTCCAGACTCTGTCACGTCTGTCACATGTGCTTAGTGTGAACCTGCTTTCATCTGTGAAGAGCACAGGGCGCAAGTGGAGAATTTGCCAATCTTGGTGTTCTCTGGCAAATGCCAAACGTCCTGCACGGTGTTGGGCTGTAAGCACAACCCCCACCTGTGGACGTCGGGCCCTCATACCACCCTCATGGAGTCTGTTTCTGACCGTTTGAGCAGACACATGCACATTTGTGGCCTTCTGGAGGTCATTTTGCAGGGCTCTGGCAGTGCTCCTCCTGCTCCTCCTCGTCTCCTGATGTACTGGCCTATCTCCTGGTAGCGCCTCCATGCTCTGGACACTACGCTGACAGACACAGCAAACCTTCTTGCCACAGCTCGCATTGATGTGCCATCCTGGATGAGCTGCACTACCTGAGCCACTTGTGTGGGTTGTAGACTCCGTCTCATGCTACCACTAGAGTGAAAGCACCGCCAGCATTCAAAAGTGACCAAAACATCAGCCAGGAAGCATAGGAACTGAGAAGTGGTCTGTGGTCACCACCTGCAAAACCAGTCCTTTATTGGGGGTGTCTTGCTAATTGCCTATAATTTCCACCTGTTGTCTATTCCATTTGCACAACAACATGTGACATTTATTGTCAATCAGTGTTGCTTCCTAAGTGGACAGTTTGATTTCACAGAAGTGTGATTGACTTGGAGTTACATTGTGTTGTTTAAGTGTTCCCTTTATTTTTTTGAGCAGTGATATATATATATTGCATTTCAGTCGTTGTTGATACTGATCTGTTCATGTCTCTCCACAGTTGGTGAAGCAGCTTTGTGACCTGACAGACTGCAATAGTGTGGTAGATGTGGGTTCTGGACAGGTAACCTAATATTCAGTCTTGTTATTAGACCTAGGAATCACACAATAAAAACATTTGTTATCTGCCTAACAATGAGATTTGTCACAGTACATGATGTTGTGTATCCCTACTGGTCTCCCTAGGGCCATTTGACTCGTTTCTTGTCGTTTGGGCTTGGTCTGTCTGTGACTGGAATTGAGGCCGATCCCACTCTAGTTTCCATGGCATCCAAATATGATGGACAGCTTCTGTGGACGCTGGAGAAGGAGCGGCAGAGGAAGGTAATGCACCACAACGCTCAGTAGTAAAGTGCAAGAAAGGCCCAGTTGATTGGCTCAGACTAGGCATTTTTTGTAAAACCAGTTATTAAGCAATTTGGTGAATATTGCTAATTAGCAATGTAATGAAGAATTAAATATTTATACTGCTCTTACTCTTTCAGAATGGACCTCAGCTCTCTACATCTGGCCCCTCACCCTGCCATGTGGCTGGCTGGGTCAACCCCAAAGCATCATGGGAAGACTTTGTCAAGCAGGTTGGAAACAGTAAATGTGTCTGTGAGGATCAGACTGCTCCGGCTGGACCCAGTAAGAAGAGACAGTGGGGGTCCATATCAGAAGCTGATCAGCAACATGGGCACGGAGACCAGCCTGTGTTGACTGCAGAATCAGAATGCCTGGGTTGGTCAGACAATGGCCAGCCTGCATCCCCACTCAAGAATAATGACAAAGTATGTACAAACTCTTTTAGTAGTGTAAAATATGAACCCCGGTCTAGCTCACTCTCATTTCCAAAATTGCTCTGCAAGACTGAAGCCGGGCAAGGCCCATATGTCCACCCACTCTGCCAAGAGATTTCATCTACGGAAGTGGTTGTCTGCCCTGTGGAAGAGGGGCAGGAATGTCCAGATTTCATCCTAACAGGCCTCCATGCCTGCGGGGACCTCAGTGCTACCCTCCTTCGCCACTTTTCCAGCTGCCCTCACGTTCGTGGCATCACCTCTGTGGCGTGCTGCTACATGAAGATCACCACCAGCGAGAACCCCAACCCCCCTGGCCTCATAGCCCCTCCCCTTTCTCCTTTGCCCACCAATGAGACATCTCACTCAGAGTTCGGCTACCCAATGAGTTCCTGGGTGCAGGGGTTGCCGGGACACCAGTTGTCCTATAAGGCACGGGAGGGGGCATGTCACGCCATGGAGGACTACATGCACAGGCTGCGGGAGGAGAGTGGGTTGCTAAGGATGCACTGTTATCGGGCAACCCTGGAGACAGTTATCAGGGAGGCGAAGCCGGAGCTGCGCAGGCCAGGAGTCCAGGCGATAAAGAAAGCACATCTGCTACCCTTTACAGAGTGAGTGTTTACACCAGTTTGTATCCATACCTCTTCAGTCTGTACCATTAGGCAGCAGCTTTCACTGTATGTTAGGATGAAAACCTAAGAAATCCATCCTTGCATACGTCTCAGAAAAACCTTTACTATTAGGTATTATCCTTGTGTATAATGATAATCATTTTGATGATCACATTTAGGAATTCAATAGCTACATTCTCTCTATATTGCCTTTTGGTCAAACATGATCACCTATCTTATATGTACCCCTGACCCCCTCTCCACATGTACCCACAGGTATGCCCGTTTGGGTCTGCCCCGCGTTGGCCTGCCCCCTGACCTGCCCCTGGACACCTGCAGAGTGGAGGCCATGCTAAGGCAGGAGGGCCGTGTGGTGGTCTACTTCAGCCTGGCTCTGCTACTGGCACCGGTGGTGGAGACACTGGTGCTGCTGGACAGGATGCTATACCTGCAGGAGAAAGGTGAGGAAATGTACAGAGACTGTGTGTTATCAGATCTTGATGTATACTGATATTTTATCCGATTCCATACATCTTTTTTGTGGGCCAAGTGCTAACAGTAAAGGTGTTATTTCTTATTGCTTGATTGTTGGTGTAGGTATACAGAGTCAGCTGGTGCCCCTCTTTGACCCCGCCTTCTCTCCCCGAAACCTGGTACTGGTGGCTTTGAAGCAGCCAACAAGGGACAAAGAGACTGTGTGCACCCTTCCATAACCAAGGACTCCTCTAAAACCGAGTGTTGTGTTCAGAGTTTACTCCCTTACTCATTGGTGCTCAAGGACTTTGGAGTGGAAGTTTAGAAGTGAGTAGCTGTGTCCGAATACCCATACTAGCGTACTACATACTTAAACTGCATACTATGTACTCATTGTCGCAAACTATTTTGCACTACCGTTTAGTAAAAGGTATGCAGTATGCCACGGCCGCAACGCAGTAGTGGCTCCTGACTGGCTGAATAGGTGGGGCGGGGCCGAGTGTGGATGGATTTTTCAAAATTCTAAAGACATGCGTCGCATTAACCAGCCCGATAACAGCTCATTTCCAATTCAGTTAATTTCTCTAAAAACTCTGAATAGAATAGTAATGGAGTTATAGTTGTCTTTGATACACATGGGAAACTGTTGTGTGAAAAACCAGCAGTGATTCAGTTCTTGACACAAACTGGTGCGCCTGGCACCTACTACCATACCCCGTTCAAAGGCACTTAAATCTGGTTTCGGTTTCATTAACATATTTAGTGAAATCAAAGTGCATATATAAATTAAATCAATAGCCTAGTGTACACACACACCAAAACTTTTTTTTCCAATTCACATCCTATAAAACTTTCTATTTTCGCATACTGAGAATGCGTCATGCACAATTGCATTATTTAGCGTTCTTGGTTAATTTTAGTAGCACATCCCCATATCTGGTTGTCAAGGCTGAAATGAGTATGACATCCAGGCATTTAAAGTATACTTGATTTTCGAAATGTCACATACTATAAAACTTTTTTTTGCATACTCAAAATGGCCTACTATTTAGGACGCAAGTATGGGTATTCGGACACGGCCAGGAGAGCCAAATTACTATTTCATCACATAGAATGTGGAAAGAAGTGGAGGACACTCAACCAACTTGAGTCAAGGTGCGACCATACACATGTAATGCAATTCCTTTTTCATATTAATGTCTGGACAAAATTGCTTTTGAAAGGGAGAGAATGTGCCCCTTTTCTGGCAAAATTGAATAAAGAATAGTATTTAGATTTCACCTGATGAATCCTTAGTTATTTTCCAAAGCCTGTTTCCAGTGGTCATTAATTGTTAATGGCATTTTTAATGAATTTTCTCAGGGATTGACACATCACTGACACTCAAATCGACCTGTACAGTAGTTTTGAAGGCTGCTATCGAAGGATTAGTCTACCTTTTGGATAGTGTATTTTACACAGAAGTCATACATGAAACCATGACGTCTTTGCTCCGTACACGCTCATATTTTATGCCAGCAAGCTCTAGACGTCATAATCTTTTCCACAGACCTACTTTGATGGTACAGGGTGGTGCCATTGTTCGATTTAATCAACCCACTAGAGTTGCACCAAGTCCTCTGCATCAGTATATCATCATAAAGCAAGAACAGTTGCAACATACCATTGGTCGTATCCTACTTTGGTGTCCATGACTAATGACCACTACAATTTGCTTTCTAGACAGTCTCTTGATGTACCTCTGACTCAAACCATTGAACCACATCAAATGGTTTGAGTTTTACAGTCTGCACCACGTGACATCAGTTTGTGTTACAGGGAGTGTTTAATGCAAATGACTGAAGCATCCAGACTTTGGCCACAGACTCCAGTATTAAGTTGCCAGAGACTGCATTGTGTTCTGTTGCTTTCAACACATTGTCACACAGGATCTAAAGCAGTTTCTTTTGTGCATGTTGGATTTCATTAAGATTGGCTGGCTGCATTCTAATCAATTTGTCTGCTTCGTGGGCTCGTGGGCACTTGTGCCCCCCCCCCCATATCTCTCTGGAGACGTATAGTACACACCAATAATCCTCATGCATGAATGTCACGAGAGGAAGTCATTTTGGAAATTGGTTTAGAACGGTGTTTGGCTAAAAGGTGTATATTTCAGTACAAATCCTCCATTAAAATGTTGGGTGCAGTTTGCCATGTTTAAACATATGAAGAGTCTTAGTACAAGTGCTGTTCTAGAATCAAGTCCCTCCTGTCCATGTAATCTTATTCACTGTGATCAAAAAGGCAAAACTGATCCTAAATCAGCACTCCTACTCAGAGACAATTGATTAATATGGTCCCAGATTTCACATGCAGAAGACATTATTAATATGCCATTTAGCAGACGCTTTTATCCAAAGCGACTTAGTCATTAATGTGCATTCAAGTCTACCAGCTGATTCAGTCACAATGAGCTGAGTTTAACATATTTAGACAGATGGCAATGATCACCTTTATTGATCGGAGCAGAACCTAAACTACTAGTGTAATGACAGTGATCTTACACTGAAACTACCCAGTCCATTGCAGTATTCTCTACAGCAGCAATCATTTTACAACAGTCAAGAGCCTTTGTTAGAAATAAGCATTATGTGCCAACAATCTTGAAACCTTTGCCTGTTTCTGTCAACAAGTATCAAAATGATAGTTATTTCAATCAAATTAAAGCATACATGTTTGTTTTATTAACAAGGAATAATGAGTAGAAAGGTGAGGTCACAGATTGTTTCTAAACTCATTCATTCAGGCTCTCTACAAAGAACTCGTTACAGGCCACCGTCAGCGCAGCAACCAAGATGACAAACTCCTGAAAGTCCACTTCGCCATCTTTGTTTTCATCCAGATCACTCATGATCTTCTCTACTACCATAGGGTCCTTACTTGCCTGAGGGAGAGGAGTAGAAATGGTTCATGCATTGAAATGTAGGCCCAGACCAGAAACGGCCGCATGACTCTCTGAACATTTGTAGATATGAAAGAATTGGAATAGGCAATACGCAGAAAATTGCACAAAGCCAATCAGATGGAAAGATCGATCTCCTGCCATATTGTTATACCCATCAAATCATTTCAGATCTATGAAATGCCTAGGTGATAAGCGTAGTTTCTAGGCCAGGCCATAGTACAATATGTCTTGAAGGTGATGGGTCCCACAACTGTTCAATAAATCAAGACTGCTCCAATGCTGGCCTTTATGAATTGCTTTGGGGCAGTTTTCATTTTGTTTATGTACATAAAAATGGAATTGAAGAAAATATAATATTGAAACCACATATCCCTCCCCTGGACAGCATTAAGAATCAAACTCACCGCCAGGAAGTCACTCAGTTCGCCCTGCAACAGATTCTTCAGCTCAACTTTGCTCAGCTTGTACTTGTCCCCTTCTTTTGAGGAGTATGAGTGGAACACTCGAATTAGCCCCTCCATTGCACTCTCGAGTTTGGAACCCATTTTACAGTGCTGTGAATAGCTAAAAAGAGACAAAGACGTGAGGGATAGGTCAATCCATGATAGCGTATAAGCTGTATGGACAATTAATAGATTTGACTGTAGAAGTCAAATTGCATGAAGTGAACTCATTGGTTCCTGTTTATTTGGATATAATCTTAACATTTGTCAGTGTGTAGAATATTGTAAACTGTATGCAACAGCCACTGGGGACAGTTTCAGAGCATTTCATCCAGTTTCAAAACGATCATGTGGGTTAAATTCCATCCCCCTTTCAAATTGTCTTTGAAAAACTAATTTAAATGTTCAATTATGATCTAGACAGGCATCCGATAACTAGCAACCCCTGAATTAAAAGCTTTAAATAATACATTGACTCCAGCAGCAACTAGAATAGAAAAATATTGATAAAAGGAGAATGAGACATTGCCATTGGTTGCCCAGGTGGGTACACATCACCAATACAGCCCTGGTGGGCCTACACAGAGGAAACAGTCAGACCTTGCTGTTCTCAGGGGTCCAGGATAAACCTAAATGATCGGGTGTCTCAGAAAGGTGATAGATGGTTTAGCAAGCTATAGATTGTTATCCCCCAGAGACACATAAATAATGTAGCCCATTCTTGTGTGTGTGTGGGGGGGATGAGTGTAGCTATCCTAGTAATTCAAGCTCTGAAGTGGGTAGGCCTAATGTTTGATGCATCTAAAGCACACCATACCCCTGAATCAAGCTTAAAACAATCAGGCATTTGATCAGTTTAGATTGTGGGGTTCTTTCCTTACAAATATGATATCAGCTATATGAAAACACCCTCAATGACATGTGATTACATGAACTCTAAGGGCTGTTGAGGCAATTTGACTGAAAGTACACTGTGTACAAAACATTAGGAACGGCTCTTTCCATGACAGACTGACCAGATGAATGCTATGATCCCTTAGATGTAATTTGTTAAATATACTTCAAAATCAGTGTAGATGAAGGGGAGGAGACAGGTTAAAGAAGGATTTTAAACCTCGAGACAATTGAGATATGGATTGTGTGCCATTCAGAGGGTGAATGGGCAAGACAAAATATTGAAGTGCCTTTAAAACGGGGTATGTTAGTAGGTGCCAGGCGCACCGGTTTGAGTGTGTCAAGAACTGCAACGCTGCTAGGTTTCATGCCACACACAGTTCCTTGTGTGTTCAAGAATGGTCCACCACCCAAATGACAACCAGCCAACTTTACACAACTGTGGGAAACATTGGAGTCAACATGGGCCAACATCCCTGTGGAACACTTTCGACCTTGTAGAGTCCATGCCCTGACGAATTGAGGCTGTTCTTAGGGCAAAGGGGGGGAACGTATAGGAAGGTGTTCCTCATCTTTTGTACACTCAGTGTATAGTTGTTATTACACTCAATATTGGCCTGAAGTTCCTTTACTTAACTTTTTGTAAGCCTAATTAAGCTAATTATAAAACAGATGGCAAAATATGCAATAACCAAAAGAGCACAACTATAAAATTTTAACTCAATGCTACAGATTCATTTCAACTTCGCCAGATTTTTTTACCCAAAAAGGACATGCTTTTCTTCTTACCAGGAAGCCTATATGGCACAGAAATGTACATATGCTCAACAAGAAATATGCATGCAGGTTAAAAATCTATTGAACACAAACACGTTCCCTACTCACCTCAACGCTGATGACAAACGAAGGAGAAGTGACGTCCACCCTCATCTCACCTGTTTTATGCATCTCACCTGTGAGCCTAAATTAAAATCAGGCGCCTCCCACTGGTGAAATCTGCAACATCACGGATGCAAATGGCACAGGAAGGCCTAATTAATTTGACCATGTAAGGTAACCTTACATAATTATTATTATACAGAATGTATTAGCCTACCGCAGAATCAATACAGTATCAGTAGACTATTGTATTGGATGTTTTTAACAACGACGTCTTCAAACCTATGATAGGACCTATTGGCTTAAAGCAACTAAAATTACGGACTTCCATTCCGAGTTTATTATCAGGGATGTATTCATTACGTCTTGAAGTCGCAACGGAAATCGTTTACCGTTAAAGAACCAAACGGATGCAAACAGAGGAAACGGGGAGGGACCTACCGGAATTTGTCCAATAGAAACTCTTGCAAAACATTTTCCGTTTGGAGTAGGCTAAACGGTTTCTGTTGCAAAACAGACTAAACGTTTTGCAACAGAATCGGCGTAATGAATTAATACACTATTCCATTGCGTTTCATGAGCCATTGGACGTCCCCTTTAGCCTTGTGAGGGAAATACCCTGACGCTTCGAAGCTGCCCAAATGCTCTGTCTAAACGCAAATAGGCCTACGCCTTGCACGACCAGATACCGTTTTGGAAACATTTGGACTTTCACATCAGTGAGAAAGAATTTGGGGGAAAAAAAACAAAAGGTTAAATGACTACACACCTTTTTAGGATTAGGGTTCCCATGCCGTGCGGCCATATTTCCATGTTAGAGCGCTTGTTTGGGCCTACGGAAGACAGAGGTGACCATGAGAAGTGTGCAGGAGGGCATGAGACAAAGGAATGTGTAGTATTGGCGGAAACAGTTGTGTGTAGCTTAGTTGGTAGAGCATGACGTTTGCAACGCCAGGGTTGTGGGTTCGTTTCCCACGGGGGACCAGTATGAAAATCACTAACTGCAAGTCGCTCTGGATAAGTGCGTCTGCTAAAATGATTAAAATGTAAAAATGTGTTAACTATAGGGGCACACATGGTGCTGAAGTTCAGAAGTGTCCAGTGACAGGCAGGCTGAGGTTGCCAGGATCAGAGTAGTACAGAGGTTGCCAGGATCAGAGTAGTACAGAAGGTGTGGTATGCTGAGGCAGTGAAGAGAGAAGTAGAGGAAGATGTGTACAGGGTGAGGGATCTTGAGAGGATCCCTGTGAGGAGGCTGAGGTCAATAGAGAGTGAGGCATAGCCATGGGTATCAACTATACCACAGAAATGGAACCTAAATCACAGAAAATAGATGTTGTGGTGGCAGCTGCAGAGAAGTACTTGGGTGTACAAGATTTTACTGCAGAAGGTGTGTTGAACGACAGTGTCCCGTCCTCCCAGTATGCCAGCCTGGTATAGGATCAGATAGGGCCAAGGAGTGGAATAATGGTGATGTTTTTAACGGGTGTAGGGTTAGTTGGTCCCTTTCCCCCGTCCTTTTCCCTTCCCTTTTTGTGTTACAGTGTAATGAATTCACACTCCAGAATAGTAGGCGGAAACACAGGGCTAGATAAGAGAAATAGATGAATAGGGATGCTGTGACCGGCCTCATACTCCAGTACAGTTGGTGGCGGTGTATGCACCTTTCAGTTTGTTGCGATCCTCCAACACAAATTTGAAGAAGAAGACGACAGAGGCAAACACCTGTTCTAATTAGCTATCAAAGCATCTCCTAACACTGTGTAATAGTGTTGTAACTGATAAATACTGTCGGTTGCAACTGTGTTAAAAGCGGTTAAAACAGTGTACAGTAAGTGTTTATTTTGCATTTGTGAATAATTTGGAATGGAAAGTGGAAGGCTTTATGTTTCCAAAACCGTATCGCACGGGAGGATTATTAACGTTTCTAAATGTTAAAACAGAGCATCGGGATTGTAGTTCACATGGAGCCAGCTGTCTTCCATACCATCTGCTGAGAACCCAAGACAGGGACCAGCTGTAAGCAGAGAGGAATAGGCGAAGCAAGAGGTTTTACTCCTCCCTAAATCTGTCCACAAAAAATATGCACAAACTGTCAGAAACTGTCTCAAGGAAGCTCATCTGCATGCTCGTCGTCCTCACCAAGGTATTGACCTGACTGCAGTTTGGCATCGTAACCGACTTCAGTGGGCAAATGCTCACCTTCGATGGCCACTGGCACGCTGGAGAAGTGTGCTCTTCACGGATGAATCCCGGTTTCAACTTTACCGGGCAGACGGCGTGTATGGCGTTGTGTGGGCGACCGGTTTGCTGATGTCAACGTTGTGAGCAGTGTGCCCCATGGTGGGGTTATGATATGGGCAGGCATAAGCTTTGGACAAATAACACAATTGCATTTTATCTATGGCAATTTGAATGATCCTGAGGCCCATTGCTGCCTCCATCACCTCATGTTTCAGCATGATAATGCACAGCCCCATGTCATAAGGATCTGTACACAATTCCTGGAAGCTAAAAATGTCCCAGTTCTCCCATGGCCTGAATTCATGTCACTCATTGAGCATGTTTCGGATGCTCTGGATCGACGTGTACGACAGCGTGTTCCAGTTCCTGCCAATATCCAGCATCTTCGCACAGCCATTGAAGAGGAGTGGTACAACATTCCACAGGCCACAATCAACAGCCTGATCAACTCTATGCAAAGGAGATGTGTCGCGCTGCATGAGGTAAATGGTGGTCACACCAGATACTGACTGGTTTTCCACGCTCCTACCTTTTCTTTAAGGTATCTGTGTCCAACAGATGCGTATCTATATTCCCAGTAATGTGAAATTACATAGATTAGGGCATAGTTTGTTTATTTAAATTGACTGATTTCCTTATATGAACTGTAACTCAGTAAAATCTTTGAAATTGTTGCATGTTGTGTTAATATTTTTGTTCAGTGTAAATTGAATCATCATTTAGGGAATAGGCCTACATTAGCCATGGGATATGACAGCAGCAGGTCAGATACGTGTAGGCCTACTACAGTCTCTCTCTCTCAACATTGTCCCTTGCTGGGCACCCAAAATGGTTTGCCAGCATTTATCACCTCAAATGACATCACATGGAAATAATCTCCCTCTGTATGCTTCTGCACTCATATCAGACGCTAACTGCCAATTCAAATCAGCTGTTGTCGATGAATGAGCCATCTTTCATCACACATGCTATATTCTATGAGATTATAATTCATTAATATGCTAATGTCCACGTTGACATACAGCGTCTGTCCTTCTGTCCTTTTTCAAGATGACATGCTCTTATGCTATGACTATGGTAGATTA